ATGAGGCCCTTGACTTGAGTGGCCTACGAGTTTTTGCAGGTGGGCGGTGTCATGAGCGCTGGTCGGTGGGGTGCGAAGGCGTGGTGTGCATGAGGGAGTGTGGAGTGTGGTGGTAAACACGATTAGCTTGTAATGCTCGCGATACGGCGCAGGCGCAGAGAGCAGAGGAGCGAAGTGCGATTTGATGTATAGCCATTAGATCAGGACTGCTGAGTGGCTAGAGCGGAGTGAAGTTACGTGAGAGGGGAGCTGAGGGGAGCGGAGAGAACTGCTTAATGTGACGCATGGTGGGGTACTTGAACTGAGGTTTGGGGTGGAAGAGGGTCCGTGGAAAAGTCATGAGCGCTCTACCAGAGAACGTGTCGGACGTGGCTAGATCAATCCTTGGTGCTCGCAGGTTGTGGGTATAGGAAAAAGCGCGGATCAGAACGAGGTTACACGCCTTGTTAGGCGTTAACGTGTTAACGCGCGTCTACTATGACGTGAGTTCAGATAGGTTTAACAACTTTTTTTGTTGAATATCAACACCCATACTTTTGTCGTGTTGTTCTGTAAGCACTTAACACTTACTAAGGGTATTCGACAACCTGTAATAGCCGCAACAGCTGGCAATTTTGGTTGCGATAGTTCATGTATACAGTCTGGCAGTGACGTTTCATGTCAGGGCTTCAGTTCGCCTAGCTCGGTTGCTCTCGCCAGCTAGGGTTCAAGTCCAGAGGTGCCTAGCTGTGGCCATCAGTATTACCTTGTTAATGCCGAGCATGAACCTTAGGCTAACGTACCTCATTGTCTCTTTCGTTTGTCTATGTCATAACTCGACGTCCGGAGGTTGCCGTACTCGTGACGGGCAAATACTCGACACTTCATCTCGCTGTGGAGTTTTACAAAATCTCCCACTACTTGCTCTTACGTACCTGCCCTTTTCCTAACCGTATAGCGAGGTCCTGATTGTCCAAGTCACACTATTGCGCATGCACCTGGCAACCGTGGCAAGCATTGATTCGGCTCGGAGTGCCTTCTAAGGTAGGTTTTGTAGGTCTCCAATGCTGCCAACCGATTTGGGTGCAACCCATGACTGGTTGCCGGACGGGGCGGGCGAGCAGAAAGATGTATATGTCCTGGTTATCGGCCCTGTGGAACGGAGTAGTTCCCCGATACTATATAAGCTGCTTTGGTAGCACAAAAGCTAGCGAGCGCCGCCGTAGAAAGTCCGAGAGCCCCATGTTTCCAACATCAGGCCGAGGGGCAAGCCCCGCATCAAACCCCGACGAAAGCAAGATGGGCGGCATCGCGTTTATCATATGGCTAGGTTACAGGTGCATTGCATGATATCGTGCTTCCGGCACGTCAGCTCATGGTTACAACGGTCCGGCAATGCTGCCGCGCGGTTACGACCAGGGCGTTTGCTAAGTCACACAGAAAGCCAATGGCGCTTTGGAATGATACCTGGTCCTTCACGGCATGTTTGCCTTATGGTAGCCACAGACGCTATTAACCGCTGCTGCCGTGCCATCTCCGTCACTGCACGCCATCTTTAATTGTCCGCAGCTCAGACCTTCGCGATTCGAGTTCAACCCAGCCTACGATCTCGCCTTCGGCTGCTGAAAAGCCTGCGTCTGTACCGCGTGCACCCCCAGCCTGTCAACATTGCCACTGTTACGGTACATGGCCAGCCATGTGTCAAGCCGTCAGATAAGGAATCCTGTACGGATATATCCGCGCTTCGGCACTCGTTGGGAGGCGTATAACACAGCAGCAACAACGGCAACGCAAATCCTCTCGGAGTAGCTGCTGGGAGTAGCAGCAACAAAGGTTGCTACAATGGCAGCGGTGGGTGCTGCTACAGCCCCTTCCGCAGCTCAGGGGGAGTTGGTTAGGGAGCAGCATCATGCGGACTCCGGTAGCAGCATCAGCAACAACGGTAGCGCTTGGAGCAAGGGGTTGGATCACAACTCAGTGGTCATTATCCTCACAATGACCATTGTTGGAGGTGTGTGTAGCGTGTGGATGCCCGAGGGAAGCTGCCATTCCATTTCCAGCTAAGCTGCCACCATGCAAGCGCAACTGTGTTTGCTCGCCCGGCATCAAGTTCAGATACTATGGGCAGAAGCAGCTCGTGGGGACCTTCAGGCCGCTAATACCGTACATTTCTGAATGTCGCTGCAGCCGGTACCATTATACCCATCCCATGCATCTCCAATCACTTTTACTGCCTGCCTGCCTGCCTGCTTGCCAAACTCACCCCCAGGTACGCTGCTGCTGCTGGTGTGCGCTGCGCTGTTGCTCTGGAGGCACCGCCGGCGCTCCTTCTCAGTCGACTCAGACGCGCTCAGCGAGGCACAGGCCCGTCACGGGTAAGCCATTGCTCTGCATCGTTGCCAGTCGTCGACCTTCAGTTCCACAAAAAAAAATCCGCATTTCGTGTAGTAGGGTTGGCGCCCTGGCTAGCCAGCTCCCGCTGGACGGCATGCAGGCATATGCTGTATGTGCGCTTACTGCCCTGTGCTGCAGGCCGCTAGCTTGCAACCACCCATTCACACCCCCAACGCTATCCCCAACCCTATCCAACCCTATCCCAGAGTCGTCGTCATCGGTCTCTCAGAGCCCACCGGAAAATCTCACGCCGCCTTCAAAGCAACTGGCAGCGGCCTCAGCAGCCATGCGCCTGGCCCCTGGCACGGTAACCTGTCAGCCAGCAGCTGCAGCCTTAAGGCCGTGGATAGCTCGGGATCGGGGCCGGAAGGCTTCTCGCTCCATGTGAACTGCCTAGCGGAGGCCCAGCGGGCGAGTGCAGTGGCGACGGTAACGATTACGACAACAGGAGGAGCAGCAGCTGTGGGGAGATACGGTAGAGATACAGCGGTGGCTATCGGCGCGCGAGATCTGGGGTAGAGGTAGCGGTAGCTATTGTGGAATGTCCTCACAGCGACAGGGATAGCAGCAGGAGCAGGAGTAGGAGCAGCAGTAGGAGCAGCAGTAGGAGCAGCAGGAGTAGAAAGTAAGGGCCTGGGACTGGAGTGGCAGCGGTTAGCTGGGAACGCGTCACTGCATGCGTGATGAAGTTAATAGTCCTATTCCTTGATCACCTTTCATTGTAGGCCGCCATCCGCGCTGCTGTCCGGGTTGCCGCGTTTCTACCAGCATGTTGCATGGCAATCTCGAAGGAAAGGATTGGCTATCACGTCTAAAGCGACGTTGCGTACAAAGGTGATGTCATGTGTTAGTCGTTCGGTGTTTCCTAATGATCGCACCAAGTGTCATGGGCCCATGGAGCAATGGAAAGGCGGTTCAGGCAACTCCCCGTAACCACCACTATCCTTTTGCAGCCATGGTCACAGGGGCCGACAGTCTAATGTTAGGAGTGCGGGAACCGAAATGCGTGCACAGAATATCCCACCCATTGACGGACCACCGAGTACCATGTCGTAACGGTGTCGTAACGGTTGTGCCGGGTTGCACGGCTCGCTTAATTTCGCGTTGTCTGTGTGTTTTACAATGTCATACAATGCCATACAAAAATCTTTGGTCGTCGAGCACCCAGAGTTTCAGTGCGGCAGGTGCCGTAGCGAAGTGTTTTAAGTATGTTTCGGAGGCTGCTGCCTAAATCGTGGCTAGCCCCTCCTCGCAATACGTGGCTTTCGGCTGAGACAAAGAGTGTGGGTGTACTACCGGAACCAATACTTGGGCTGGAATGTCTGGGGGTGTTCCCGCGTGCGCATACCGTAATAAGTGCTGGGTGCATTCGCATGTGTGTGACAGAGTGCACCGTACTTGAACTTTCTGCAAAAACTGTTTTTCGTTCGAACGTGGTTTTGGACACATGTGTGTTGCATGCGAGGGGCGATCGATGCATGTGGTCCTCGGTTGGAAGGTAGTTGTTGACCAGGCCAATGCCCGCTGCAAAATTGCCGCCACCAAAGTGTACCGATCTGGTTCTCGTTCGTACGATACCATGTTGCAGGATGCAAGCCTGTCAAGTTTCTCCTGCAAGGATAGTTCCAGGCTGGCCAAATGACTGTGTGCATGGTTGGTGGCAAAGTCCGGGGAGGTCCTGTTGTACAACCCAATGGTTATTTACTAGGTGTTGTATTGTCTCAAGTTGAGCTGCATCAAGAGAGGCTTGGTTCCTAGCTTGAGGCCCAATGTGCCGGGAGGGTACCGTGATGTATTGTGCCGGTGATGGGTTAGGACGACATGCGGTTATGGACTGAAAACCGCATAGGCCGTGTCGCAATAAGCTTGGGTTCGTTGTCCTTCCTACTGTTGCCAGGTGATTACCTTCAAACGCTATCTCTCCTGTTATCTTATTGGCCCTTAGGCCTAGACGTCATGACATGCCATGTCGGTTTCCCTCCACTCGTCGGTGTATCTCCGATGCTTTTTGCGTAACTGCCTAAACAGAGGTCACCTGTAAGCGCAGTACATCTCCAAAAATTAACCTACCGGTACACCCAATGGTCCCTTGTGGATGGACAGCACGACAGAGCCTACGCCCTCTCCAACGGCCCCCTTCCTTTTGGTTCTTGGATTTATGCGGCGCCCAGCCTGAGGACCTTATCTCGCCTTGTTAACATGTGCCTCTGCAGCCAAGTGGCTAGCATGCGTCGCGGCTGAATGACAACGGTTCTCACTTTTGAATGATAATGGCTCTCACTCCTTTCAACCCAAACATGACAAAGCTAGCCAAAATGCGCGTGCCGCTAGCTTACTGCTTCTAAATCAACACCTGGCAAGCCCTAGCAGTTCATTCAGCACAATTTCACGACCCGCCAGGAAAGTCACGACACCACAACCATTGTTGCCCCTATCTGAGTTGGCTGCCCAACGCCTGAGAAATTCCGCACCAGTTTTCAGCATGCATTTACCCATGCCCCCTCTTCACGCGTCCGCATGCATTCCCAGTATGTTCCAAACGCAATCGCGTTCCTCCTGCGCCAGGCAACTCTCTTCATGCAGCACTCCCCCCCCACACACAACCACCCCCCACCCCATGTTGACGCCTTATCCCTCAGTCACTTAGTTGTTTCTTCTTTACCCCACACAACCGAAAGCACCAGTCACCACGTCTGGCCCTGGCCCAGTACAGCTCAGCACCCTGTTCCAAAGAAAGCTACGGGGCCCAGTTCTTGTTGTTGCTTCCTCCAATACCATTCCAATGAGACAACATTCCTTGTGCCACAGCAACCGGCCGCAAAACTGACGCCCCGTGTGTACCGGTGGGTCTCGGGAAGTCCCAACCCATGAAGCTTATTAGCGTCATGTTGAAACCAAAACACCAGTAGCGCCGCTCCAAACACCTACCTACAGCACTTGACGGAAAGAAAGCAAACAGTTGTCAAGTATGAAAGGAAACCTTGACCGCTATGCCACACGCAACGTAAGCGCCAGCAAGCAGCACCCTAGCCAACGCGATTTCCAAAACACAACGCCACAAAACAACGGAGAAATTGCATAAACCACACGTACGAACGCGACGAACAAACTGAACTTAACGAAATGAAGCCAGCAGCAGTAACAGCGGCTTAGAAGCCGATCCTGAAAGGCCATAGCAACGGCCAGGCCCCAATTCGACCAACCAACTACGAAAGCCGACAACATAATAAACCAACTCCACATGTGTTTTGTTTGGAAGAAAGGCGTCAGCCGGCCACGCTTATTCGTGCTGAGCACTCAGCCCTTGAAGCACTGCAAACCGGGTGCAAACCATACACAACTCAGACACTACGGAGCTACAATCGAAAACACCAGCGGCAGTTTATGCGCGTGCGCGTAAAGGCTTTCGCTTACGACCCATAACTCGTAGTATGCCACATGTATAGCAGAGAGGCCACTACATGGCTGGTAGCGGATTGTACACTTGCAATGCGCAACGACCGCCTCGTAAGCCTCCAAAGCGTAATACTAGGAGCCCCATCTTCTTCTTCTGTGCCATTCATTCCTCGTGTTAAGATATACAGACACCGGCGGAGGAATGCCGCTGGGGCCACCCGCAGTCCAGGACATCGCAAAACCCCCCTCACCTCCCGCCTGCGAGTAGCCTCGCAAGTGTTACCGGACCCACCTGCCGGCCCCAGCACGACAACGAGCCCACTCCAAACCCTCGAACCCGAACCAGCTCCCACAGCCCCACTCTCACGTCTTCTAATGGTTCCACCACTGGAAGCCCAGAACGCAGCCCGCATCCTCACGCTACAGGCGAGTCAAAGCTGCACACCCCCACCGTTGCGCCCCCCTTCTCTTCCCCTGCAGCAGCCTTGCCGCCCTCCTCACCTCCCACCGCCTTCTCCTTCCCCGTGTCCGTCACTGTTACGGTCACAGGCACCGCCACTCCGCCCGGTGCCAGGTGCGGCGGCGGTCCGGACGCTGGTACCGACCCCACCGGCCCCACTGGCGCCTGGCCCCCCGCCGGCCCCGGAGCTACACCAGACCCCGCTCCCGAACCAGACGACCGAGCAGATCCAGACCCAGACCCCGCAGACGTGGTGGTGAAGGTGGTTTGCGGCGAGGTCTGCCGTCCGGGCGGCTGCTGCGAGGCCGCCTGCGCTGCTAGGAAGGGCAGCAGCTGCGCGCCCTCCTGCTGCTGCTGCTGCCGCAGCTTCTCCAGGCGGGCGCGGCTGCGGGCCACCTCATTGGGCTTCCGACGACCCACCTGCAGGGTGTGGCGCGGCAGGGTGGGACATGCTGAACAGCAGAGCAGCTACCGGTAAGTGGATAGTAAGTGGGTATATAGCGGCCAGCAGTACAGCTTCCACCTCCAGGTAGCTAGCGTGAGGGTGATATAACTCTACTGGTAGCAGGATGCTGCCACTGCTGGCTTCCCTACCCGTGCCCTACCTGATACGCCGCCACCGTCGCATGGTCCATCTTCCCCGGCGGCCTCGCAGACGGCGCCAGCCCCATCAGCCCCCCGTGCTTGCCGTCCGTGCTCAGACACGGCCCCTCCCCTCGCGACAGCCCCCGCTCCCGCTCCCGCTCGCGGCTGCGCGCCTCCACATGCTGCCGCTGCTCCGTCGTCACCTCGTACACATGCTGCAGCAGCTGCTCCGCCAGCCCCCGGGCTGTCATACCGCCGCTGCGGCTGCCGCGACCCAGACCGACATGGCAGTGGTTGCAGCCGGCTGCTGCGGTGCCCCTATCGCCGCCGTCAGCTGCTGCTGCGGGTTCAGAGCTGCTAGCATTGTCACCAGCCGTGGGCGTGGCAGGTGTGGATGTGGCGGGCGTGGATGACCCGTGGGTCGATTTGCTGGATGTGGGAGTGCGGGACGCTCCTGCTGAGAGGCGCCTGTCTGCGTCCACCAGCACCTCCCGCAGGAGGTCCATGGCTTTGGCCTGGCACTCCGCCGGAGAGAGGGCGGGCAGGTCATTGTCCGTGGACTCCAGCACCTGCGTCAAAGCAGTGGTCGGACCGCGTAAGGGTTAGGGTTTGTACTTGCAAGGCGACGACTAAAGGAGGGTACATTGTGAAATGCAGCGTTGCGCTAACGCGGCGGCTGTTTCATCCTGAGCCCGAACGCAAACACGCCTGCGGTGCCTTCACGCCCACCCTTCAGCATCCACCCACGCACCTGGTGTCGCGCTATCTTGCGGATGACGGGGTCAAAGTTGTCGGCCACTCCGTCGCTGGTGAGGAAAATGAAGTCCCCCTCGTCCAGGAATGTGAGGCACAGCATCATGTTGGCCAGGTCGGGCTCCTCGCCCATGGCGTAGCCCAGCGCACCGGGGCACCAGCGGGGGTCGCTGGGGGGTGGTGGTGGGGTGCAGGGATGAGGGGTCGTGAGAATGCGTGCACACAAGCAGTGGTGGGTGTAGGGCACGGCGCATGGGGCGGTGAGCACGGGGATGTGGACAACACAGCACGCCTTCCCTCCCCGGGTGACTCCGTGTAACCATGTCTGCTTTGTCCCTCCGCTTCCCCCACCCCCTGCCGCCCCCACCGCCCCCCGCCTACCGTGCTCCATCCGCATGCGCCGCCGCCGTGACCTCCTCCACCGTCCTGCTGGCTGCCCGGTAGACGTAGGCGGCGCTGTCCCCCACCGTGAGCGTGATGGCGGCCCACCGGCCCGGCGAGCGAACCCACTTGAGCGGCAGCACTACACTCACCACCTGCATGGAAGAGCACCAGGCGCGCTTGGAGTTGGACGCTACACAGTAGTCAGGTGCGGTCAGGAAAAGGACGACCACACACGGGCTGGTGTCCTCAACCTGCCACCCCACGCACATACGGGCTAGAGCCTGGACCCGCGGGCCGGGCCCCAAAGGGGTACCGGTACTGCCCCTGGCTGCACCCACCAGCGTGGTGAGGGTGCCGAACTGCTGCAGGATGAGCTTCTGCGCGGCCGATATGGAGTCCACCAGGTGCCGGAACACCGTGTGGCTGTCCAGGGAGGAGTCGCCTGGGGCGTGAGGGGAGGGAGGCGAGGGGCTCGGATTGCTTCCCTTGCTGTGGAGGGAGGTAGGCGGGTGGCGGCCAAGACCAATAACGGGCCCGAGAGCCTCTTACAGCAATCGAGGATGTGGCATAACGAGGAACCCGGAACTAGGGTTTCGATACATGGCATGGGGTTCTGATCCTTGAGCACCTCCGGGCCAGCCTCCCCGTTGCCCCCCCATGCTTGTTCCCCTCCGATCCACTTACCCTCGTGTTGCTTTAGAGCGTGGTGCATGTGGTTAAGGCATCCGAGTACGGCACACCTCGCTGCACGGCGGGGCGGCTCGCCCCAGTTCACGCCATCCGCCACCGCCAGGACGGCCCCCTCCGGATAGGCCAGAATGCCGAAGCAATCAGCCACAGGCTCTCCATTACGGCGGCCCGTTGGCCCCAGGTCGTACATGGACACGGAAATGCCATAGGCCCAATCAAGGGGGTCCTCCCACGACACCTGGAGGTCTGCACGACAAATGACAACGTAGCGATGAAAATTATACAGTCAAGTCACAAGAAGAAGCAGGCACAGAACGGCTGACTCAAGCTGCTCCCAAGGCGCGGGCACGCCGAAACAAAAAGCTCCGCACCTGGCGTAAATTGCTTATAAACAGCAACGCCTGTGTCTGGTCCTGAGTGCGATGCGACGACGGTCAAGTCAGGCTTGCTTAAATGCAAGTTCGCTTCCGGAGGCTCGCCGTCTGCCCCCTGCTTCCCGCATAGCGTTCCACGTTCTAATTTCCGTGCAGCCGATTGCTCCCTGCAAAGTTATAAAGCCAAAAACTCTCAGAGATACGGCGGCCGCCCTGACAAGAGCATAATTAGGCTTCTTCCTCACTTCAGGCGAGCACCAAGTTTCCGAAAGAGTTGTAGAAACATTCAGAAGACTTTGTCCATTAACAGACTGTAATTTCCACCTCGGATGGACCTAACGAAAGGTCTTCAGTTAACAGCTTTCGTCTATGTCAAAGCGACTTGCGCCATGTTGGTTATAAATGCAAAGCCATACAAAGTATTTCGGCAGCACGGATAAGTGGGCTGGAAGCGTGACGTTGCAAACTGTTACAAGGTACGTGCCAAAGATAGCATAGCGGGATTGAGTTTAGCTCATGATCCACACGAAGGAGATGTGTAGGACATTTGAGCTTGGTTTGGTCGTCGTCGGACTTGAGAAACGCCGTACAACAGGTTTCAGCCGATGCGCCTTGCTAGACGAGGGCCGACCAAGCTTCCGCACACCATCCAGCCATAGCCAACGCATCTGTTGCGTTAACAATTTCACCGCAAGCACAGCGTACACTGCATTGGAGTTCATAGCGCCGGCGAAGTACAGCGCAGGTGCAGTACGTTACGAACTTGCTTCACCCTGCTGTTGGCGCTGGATCGCGAGTAACCGAAATGCGTAATGGACGCAGCTATCAAGCCACAATTACAAAGTCGCTGTCATCATCTGAATCGTCGTCGAGCAGCTCAACCACCTCAACCGCCGGTGCCGCGGAAGACCCCGGGGCAGGTGGTATCCCCCCAAGAGGCCCGGGCTGCTGACGGTCACCCGCCCCGCTGCTTGACGGTCCGGCAGAAGCAGCACCACCTGCGATGCACCACATGACCATCTTTCAGCCGTCAGGTGATTCTTCCAGTTTGTCCCGATGCCTCTAGTAACACCCCTGCCTACGCACACACACACCGACCCCTCTGTCACCATCGCCACCAAGGCTCTTTCCAGTATGCTCCCCCCCGCCTCAGCCCGCCCCGCAGTCTCACCCGCTCTCTGGCCCAGACTCCCTTCCGCCGTGCCCCCAACGCCCTCCGCCAACGACGACGCCGGCCCTCCTCGCCTCGCTGCCGCTGCCTCACTCACCGCCGCCTCCGCTCCTCCCACCCCCGCAGTCGGCAACCCGGGCTGTCGCGACCCGCCTGCGCCCTGCAGCCTGGCAAGCGCCGCCTCCGCACAGCGCCGCCTGAGCTCCTCCGCCGAGGGAGCGCCTGCCTGGACCGCACCCGCACCGGCGGGTGCTCCAGAGCCGGAGGGTCCTGCTGCTGTGGCAGGCCCTGCGGGCGCTGCCAGCGGTACCTCCGGGCCTGGATGGGCCGGTGGCACAGACTGGGGCCGGGCAGGAGCGGCGGGCGGCGCCGCAGAAGGGGCTGCGGGCCAAGGAGGAGCAGGGAGCCCGTAGGCGGATGCAGTGGTCTGACATGTCACATGGAACACCACGTCACCAGGGTCTTACGGGTCATGCTTTAAAGGGACAGCCCCCCTAGCTCCCAGTGGTGGCACGCTAGCACCTCTTACCTGGTTTGTGGGTCTTGGGGCTCGGGAAGCTGCCAACGGAGGGCGGCAGGAAGTTGGGATCGCGGCGCGACCCGCCGGCCTGCTGGCTCCCCGGCCGCCCCGGACTCCCGGGAGCCCCTGCCGCCCCGCTACCGCCACCCGCGGCGTCCGTCCCGCCTCCTGACCCGCCTGACCCGCCTGCGGTTCCGCGGACCTGCCCCCACAGCCGCTCCAGCGGTTGCTGCTGCGGGTGGTGGTGCGGCCGCGGCTGTGTCGGCTGCTGCGAGCGTGTCGGCTGCTGCGACCCAGAAGCCCCCGAAGTTCGACTCCCACTCGGTCCACCGCTCGGCACGCTGGCGCCGGCACCAGGCGCCGGCTTCCCCTGCCTATTTTCCGCCAGTGCACTCGCGGGTCGCTTGGCGCCGCGGCCGGAAGGCCCCGCTGTAGCCCCTGCACCCGCCCCTGCAACCGCTGCTGCAGCCCCCGCTGCGCCTGCTGCGACGCTGTCGATGCGTTGCTGCCCGGGTGCCAGCGCTGGCCTGCTGCCGGGCTTCCTAGCGGGTGACTTCTTGCGTGTGGGCTTCTTGGGGTCGGGCTCGCGCACCTTGATGAATGCGCCGCCGCACTGGCGGATGTGGGTGTGGTAGCCGCAGTTGGGGTCGCGGCAGCTGGGCCCGCGGCTGCCGGTGCGCCTGGCGGAGGGGGGGAGGTGGGGGGAGGTGCGTGCGCCAGCAGCTGCCTGGTGCCGCTGTGTGACCATCTCTTATGCATCTACTATGTACGGCGTATAGCGATGTAGGGCTTTTGTGCCCAACAGCACACCCAACCCAGGTATCCCTACGCACCCTATGCAGTCCGCCTCCTGCGGCGGGCGGTTCATGGAGCGCTTGATGACCTTGCGGCAGCGCTCGCACTCCCACCAGTGCGTGCGGTAGTTCTCCACCTCGCCGATCATGGAGTGCGTGGTGGTGATCTTGTAGCCGCCGGGCGGCCGCTGCGGCAAGCGGCGGGAAACAGCACAATGCACAACCGCAAGGGTAAGCGGAACCAACAGTTGAAACTGTGAGTGGATTCCGTGGGTGCAAATGCTTGGGTTGGTAAGGAACTGTCCTCAAGCGTGTCTGTAACCTGAAGCATCCATGATTCCAGGTATGTGTCGTACCGTCCTGCGATGCCCACCAGCCGTACCTGCGGATCGGGTACGGTGCTGACATTGATTTTGTTCATGAGCTCCAGGAAGGGCGGGCCGTGGCCGCCCGGATCCGGATCGCGGATCTTAAGCGTCATGTTGTGTGCGTGGATCATCTCGTGAAGCAGCACCTTTGAGGAGTGACGTGACGCATGGAGAGAGGGGCGTGAGGGGAAGATGGACAGCTGTTAAGGACTGATGGACGACACTTACCATCTTCATGTCGCGCACCGGACGTAGCTGCGAATTGGGTGGTGAGAGTAAAAGGGAGGGCTAAGAGCTTCTGCAGTGTGTGACTGAGAATTGTAATGTAAGCAGCTTGGGCATCAACAATCGTGAAGAGTGCTTCACAGTGCTCACCTTGAGAAGGGGCTCGCTGAGCTTTATCTGGCACCCCATTAGCGGATGATACTTGCAGATGCCTCCGCACCTGCGCTTCATTGGGACCGTTGAATGTCATAACTCAGAGCGCTGCTAGAACGGGCTCTTTGACCTTGAAGTCCAGAGGCAAGCGAAGACCTAGCCTGCACTCGCCAACTCACAGCGTCATCCGGCTACTGCTCCATTCCACCGTGGTGTTTCCAAGCAGAACACCTCCAAAATAGAGGTCGTTGTAGTACAGGAATAAAGAATGTATATCAGGAAACTCGTCTCCTAGCTCCTCAAATTCATCCATTTGTCATGTCGGGTTTTTACGACCTCCTACTACGCTTCCATTACCATTCGAGTATATTGCAATATTAAACAGCGACTGCTGGCTTTTCCACACTTTTGCTCCACCCAATCACAAGATGTACGGCGTGCTGTGCCTGCTGCCCGCGATGGTTCATCTTGACATGCGACAACGCCATTCGTTGCAAATCTAATAGTAATCGCCGCAATGCTGCCAGTGGTACGTAACCTCTTGACGCGCGGACAGCGCTCCATCCTAGCTGCGGCTTGCCATGGCAGCGTAGTGCTGGACTCGCAGGCGTCAGCAGCAACTCCTACCTCCTGGTTACCGGCATTGGCGCAATTGGTCCGGGGCCTGAAGAAACCAGCCCAACAGGTACCGGTACGGGCAATCAATCACATCCCGAAAAAGCGCCCTCGGCTTGCCGGCGGCCATGCACATGGACAGTTAGGCTCATCCCGCTTAATGTTTGTTACACCAGTCTCCGGGTTGTAACCGTCTCCTGTCCGACATCCAACTTTGCCGTGCACCTCGTCTTGTAACCTCGCCCCTTCCTGGTCCATGTCCCTGAACCCCGCCCCCAGGTCCGCGCTGGGGACCTGGTGCAGCGGGATGGGCGGCCTTTCCGCGTTGCGCGTTTCCACTGGATGCATGGGCAGGCCCGCGCTGCTGGCTTCGTGTCCCTAGACCTGGTGGACCTGGCCTCGGGGGCTCGCACCTCGGAGAAGCTGCGGCTAGATGACCAGGCAAGGGAGGGGAGTTTGTCATGGGGGCAGGATGGATAAAACTATGTGGCATTAGGAGCGACAGCTGTCAGGCGGCCGGCTATCAGTCATCCATGCACCTTACCTGTGTGCGGACGCTGACTTGCTAGCATCCCCCCACCCCTACGTGAGTCTCATCTGCTAACCACCCCACTACACGCAGGTGGAGCTGGCGGACGTGGACACTAAGGACATGCAGGTGGGGGGACTGCTGACTGCTTGCATGGGGGCTGGATTGCCGTACCTTGCGATAATGAATTGAGACAGCCCAACGGAAGGGCTTTGGTCGGTGGGCATTGAGCATTGTTTGATGCCCACTGATGTAGCTCCCATGGCACTGCCCTCAATGCACCCTTACCTGGATACACCCTTCTCCTCGACTCCACCGCCTCCCCCTAAAGCCTCTCCCCAAACCCCATCTTCCGCGGCTCAGTTTTTCTAATCCCCGCACCGCACACCCCTCCGCACACACCCCACCGACTCGCGGCCAGTTTCTTAACACCCCACCCCACCCCCCAGATCCTGTACCAGGACGAGGCGGGCAACGTGCACGTGATGGACGGCACCTCCTACGAGCAGGCGGTGCTGGCTCCGGAGCTGTTCGGGGAGGGGCGGCGCTGGCTGGCCGCACCCGAGCTCACGGTGGCAGTCAGCTTCTTCGAGGGGGAGCCGGTGGCGGGTGCGTGAGGCACGGCGGGCGGCGGCGCTGGGGCCCGGGGTGGATGCACGTGTCCGTTCCTTCCGTACATCTTTCATTACTCCGCATCGTGCCCTAACAAGCCATCGCGCCACCCCTCTGTTGCTTACGGTACCTCATTGCCCGCCCGCCCCGCCGCTCCACCCCGCCCCTGCAGCCCGCGTGCCGCACAAGGTGTCGGTTACTGTGCTGGACGCGCCGCCCGCCGTGGAGAAGGACGACGGCTCCTCCGCGCGGCACGTGCTGGTGGAGGGCGGCATCAGCGTCATGGCGCCCGCATTCGTGCGCACCGGGGACCGAATCGTGGTGCGCACGGAGGATGCGGCGTACATGGCAAAGGCGTGAGGGGGTGGGGGCAGCGGCGGCAGCAGCAGGGCTTGAAGGGGGTGAGGAGGGGGATGGGAGCAGTGCCGGCAGCAGCAGCAGCAGACGAGCGCTGGGGATGGGGATGGAGAAGCGGCAGCAGCGGCAGCAGCGGCAGCAGCATAAGGTCAGGGCAGTGGCAGTACTCAGAGGGGATGGGAGTACCGGTATTAGGGAGGAGTGGGGCGGAGGCATAACAGACGAGGGGGTAGCGAGTGAGCCGTGCTGGGTCGGTTGGATTGAGGGGAGATGTATGCATGCATGGTGGTTCGTGTGTGGTGGGATGCGGGTGGGGGCGTGTGTCAGCAGGACATGTTGTCGGGTAGTAGCACGGTGCCATAAGGTGTCTCTAGGGCAATCGGTATATAGGCGTGTGCACGGCTTGCTCTCCACATATGGAGTAAAGCTTGGGTGCTTATAGAATAAAGACTCAACCTGTTGTTTTTCATCTTACTACACTCTCACTATGGCAGCTAGCACCCGGACGTTTGCGCCCTCCCGTTCTACTGCGAAACGATGATGGTTGAGCAGGGCAGGAGTGCAGCCGCACGCAAGGGCGTGTCGATGTCTGAATGGGCGAATCCGACATGGTGAAGGAGGGATAGCGCTTGCATGGACCGAAGCACAAATGGGCGCATTCAGGGATTTCAGGTATGTACTAAAGTCGCGCCTTTGCAGGTGGGTGCGGCGTGTGCGTACATGCTGGATGTGTTGCTGCGGTGACTGAGGCAGGAGTTGCTCGCTGCTCTTTTAGTGGTGGTGGTGTGTGTTCGTTGGGAGGCACGTGGCGACAAAAGGTTGGGATGACTTTAACGAGCCCCTGGTGGCTAAAAGGTTGGTGTGAGTAAGAGTCGACGAAGGATGTGGCGTGTCTTCCTGTATGGGACGTTGGGGCTGGCTAGATTGATAGCGGCTAGCTGTTGTTGCATGGGGTAGAAACGGGGTGTTGCGAAGGGCGACAGCGAAGGAGAGGTATGGCAGTGGCGTGACAAGTATGGCAAGCCGCATGCGCAGCAGTCTAGAGCCTTACCCGGTAGCCCCCGGGGTTATGAGTGACATTATGGGCCCCACGTCGATCCGAGTACTGATTCGTCTCCAGCGCTTCGCTGTTGACATTGGTCAGGAACAGGGTCTTGATTCGGAGCTTCCTCGCGAAATCCTTTTCGTAGGCTTTAACAGCTCCATAACGTAAGAGCCGTCAACCTCTTCATAAACATGAACGGGTAGGAGGGCTGCATGGGAAACAAGCTCCTGACGTACGCCCTATCTCCAAGGGGAAAAGGAGGTACTCAGGACTCCTTGCCCCGTGCGTGCTAGATTGTACAGCAAACTTGCTTAGCGCTGGCATAGCGGCAAACTGTCATGCTTGCTTTTGTTACGGCAAAGGTTGGGAGTTTCAGTTCGGCCGTTGCCTCTATATTTGCAAGGCCTTCCCTACTGCGCGCCCGACCTCGGAAGCTCGTCCAACCACGTGCTACCGAACACCGGCAATCTTCTTGAAACATACTCCTTTAAGCTATGTTTTCTATTAATGCGTTAATACTCTGATCATATTTAAGCTAAGCGGTTTACCGGTATCACCTGCATTTGTTCAGGGCTGCAACCAAAAAAGCTACTTAATACCTATTGCAGGAGGGGTGCGGAACTATAGTTCTGTACCTCATACCCCTCCCGGGCCCGAGATACCCCGGGGGTAGTAGAACTCATCGAATTGTGCCCCTTGAACTGTTTTTAGGCCCGAAATGGGGTCTCTGGCGGGGGTCCCCAAGGGGGGAAAAATATAGACCCGGTCCCTGCAAATTGCCTAAAAGCCGAAGGGAAAATGACCTGTACCAATAGTATACGCGAAGGTGTAACCTTTACAACACTTGTGCCAAGGAAAGAAGAAGGGAAGAAGAAGATTGCCGGTGTTCGGTAGCACGTGATTTGGACGAGCTTCCGAGGTCGGGCGCGCAGTAGGGAAGGCCTATTTGCAATCTACACAATCTTTCTTAGCAGCTTCTTGAGACTCTTTTATAATACCTGTGCATCTTTTCCCGGGGGAACACAGTGAGCAACTTAGGTATCAAGCCCTAAGGCAACACCCGTTGTCGTTGAGGAAGAAGCACACACTGCGTCGCGCAGGCTCTACGGTTACAAGTGTAATGCAATTGAGTCCCGTTGGTCAGTGGGCCGAGCTTTACTCCACGGTTGCACGCCAGCTCAGCAGTGCCTCGCGCAATGGAAGACGGACGTCTACTGGCTTTGCGTGAAGCGTCGTTTGACATCGTCTATGATGATGGAAGGGAGGACTGGTCGGGATTGCCTCCGGAACTGTTAGAGGTATGGCACGAGGGCTGATCCCAACCAATCTCTGCTTTGCAGACCTGTAAGGAGGTTGAGGTTGGTCACCACCTTTTCCCATCCGCAAGTGCGTCACCCCACGTCACGCAGAGCAGGAAAGGCGCACCGTAACAAGAAGCTTCCTCTGCTGGAATGGATGCGCCATATATCCTCAGTCAGCTAGGGCTCCTCAGGGCTAGACAAGACGTTAGCAGGGGCATTGCTATCCACGCTATGGCACACTATGTCTTTGCCAGGTCCTGAACAGGTATAGCAGTAGCACAAGTGAAAAAAGCTGCACTTTTGGCGTTTCTTGGCAAATAACTGGACGCTGAGTCAGAAAGCTGTCCTATTTTAATAGAGCTGGCAGTGCTTAGCTTGCAGAATACCGGTGCAGACAGCCACAAGGAAATGGATTGCAAGTGAAGCGTCTATATTTTCTGCTACCTGGAGACGTGGAGTGCCACGTGGTGGCAGCAAGCTCCGAAGCCGACAGCGGGGCACGTTACGCCGTTGAAAGCCTAGCATGCGGATGCTTCCTTGCGCTTCTTTGGTGTTCCCAAGGTCCTGCTTCAACTTCTAATTTTCTTTTTATTTCCTCCTTCGACCGTCGTCCCCACACCCTGCTCAGGCGCTTAGCTCTCTGGTTAACGGCCAGTGCAACGCTACCGCCCGGATCATTCGACCTAGCAGCTCGGTCCCCGCAAGTCATGGTTTAGTCCAATGCGACAATGGTCGACTACTCGTGCGATATCGTGCTGGTGTGGTACCATAATCACATTTGAGTCAACGGAGGGAGATACCGTGCATGCATGATACAATCCAGGAATGGGTACTAGCGCCGTATGTCCCTGCAATAGCACCAGTGCAGGCCCCTGTACTCCATCCCTGCATCGGGGGTTGCTGCAGGCTCGAAGTAACGCCTCAGCAGTCACGTCCCGTAGTAGCCATCCTCAACACCTCATGCGTTCAACCACACACCTCGGCCCCCTGCACAGCCTTCTAGCTTACAGGCCCGCATGTGCCTCAATCCAGGCTGCCCGTGCCGCCTCCTGCCTCTCAAAGAACCGCAGCAGCCGAAGCTCTCGTCCCATGTCGCCACCGCCCTCGCCGCCAACACCGCCATAACCCGCATCCTCTTCCAAGCCCGCGCCCTTGACGCCCCACCGCCACAACCGCCACAACCGCCCGCGCGCACCATCCGCACCCCGTCCCACCGCCCCTCTGCCGCCCCACCGCCACAACCGCCCGGCTTGCAAAGCCCAGATGCTGCTGACTGCCCTGGGAAGACCTGCAGCAGTGCTCCACAGCCCCAGCCCCACATCCGCTCCCATCCACGCAACCAGGCTGCGGTACAGCCCCAGCAGCCCCCCGGCCCCGCCAGGCTGACGTAGGGCCGCCTTGCAGCGGTTGCCGTCGCTGCAGCTTGCCTCCGTGTCGCAAGGAGCGAGCGGCCGGCCCCCCGCATGCTCCCTCCCGCGGCTCCCGCCAGCATGGCGGTGTCGTACACCTCCCCGCTGGCCCCACCACCACCAGGCTGCCGTACTCTCGCTGGATCCTGCCACCGGGGATCCAGCCGTAGCAGACTCCCGCGCCTCCGCCACAGCTCCGGACTTCCCCCTGGCCGCATGGCCGGTATGCGGCTCCGAAACCTGCTTCCTATCCCACTCCGCTTCGCGATTCGCTCTACGGCCTAACAGGTGTTCCGCAGACCCAATTGGCTGCTGCGCATCCTCCTGTTCCTCAACCACTGCCTTCGCCGCTGCTGTCGAAGCCACTGACGTACCCGCCAGCCGCTCCGCAGCTCTCCGTCGCAGCCCCGCCAGCGCAGACGCATGCCGCTGGTACGACAACACGCAACGGGCAAAATCCAAGTACGACATATCCGGCCACATGACGGGCAGGTAGCAAAGGTGCGCATGAGAGGCCTGCCACAACAGGAAGTCGGAGAGTCGCGTCTCCCCGGAGGTGCGGATCAGCAAGTCGACTGGGGGGCTGTGCGGGCCGGTACGCAGGGCGGCATGCAGGGTTTCGGGGCGCACGTCGGCGGGCAACAGCTGAGCGCCGCGTACGGCAGATTGGAGCTCGTGGACGGCGGCCACGGTTTCCTCACTGGACCTGCGGGATACAATGCAGGGGAGAGCGGAGGTAGTGGGGACGGTTTTCGGTAGATGGGATATTGCTGGGATATGACGGCCGAGGACAGGATTGTATGCCTCCTGACCTCACCCACAGCTCGCCCTCCCACAGTCCTGGCACACCCCCGCTTGCTTACGTGTATGAGAAGCACACGTTAAGGGTTGCGCGCTGCCTGCCCAACGACGCCGTGCCGCGCATGAGCCGCGCCGCCGCACCCTGCACCCCCGGTGGCGGCAGCTCCAGGTCCCCCACGATGCGCATGCGGATGCCCTCACGCTCCGCCAGCCCATTGACCTGCACGCCGTGGCAACATGTAGCAAGGCAGTATATGCAGACAGTGGATGACCGCTCGGGGTGTGGGTAGATCTGTAAGGATTTGCAAGCATAAGGTGCACTGCGCATGGGCGTATGTCTGTCATGTCTGATACAAGCCCATGCCATCTGTGGGGCTGAGATGGGATGGGATGTTGCCCTGCGTGCAGCACGGTGATTCCACTTCGCCGCGTTCTCCAACTACGCCATTGTACGCCCGCCACATGCCCATAGCAAGGCGCGCAGAAGGGACCCCTGGCAAACGCGCACCTGAGCCAGCTCTATGTACTTCTCCTCCGCAAGACGCATAAGCGACGCCACCTCTTCGGGGGCACGCTTGAAGTTGTCAATACTAAACGCATAGACGGTGATGTGCTTTACGCCAAGCTCCATGCACCAGTGAATGACGTCTACCATCTGCAGGGGAACCGTAGTCATACTCGCCGATTGTTGACCTGCTTACGTTAAGCACATAAAAATATACCTTCCCATAGCCATGGGTGTGACCAGTCGCCTTGTCGACGTGTTGCCGCTCAGCGTAGCGACGGTTGCCATCCATGACAAAGGCGACGTGCTCCGGCACTTTCCCCAGCACGATTAGCAGTAGTTGAAGCGCTCGACGAAACCAAACAGAAAACCATCGCAGCATTGCGCTTAACACGTTCGGCTGCTTCGCCATTGTTTAGTGCTAGTGGGACACGTTGCTGCTGCCTATTTAATGGTTCATCTGCATTGTCCCTGCTAGATTACTCAATTGGAAAGCAAAAGAGATTCGCAATTAGCTTAGTTACAGCGGCGATACGGACAGAGCGGATATAGGCTGCAACGCATCTATCATTTCGGGCTTGCTTACATTGAACTTGTTGATACATTGAACACATGTCCTCGAGCATTGTTGAACGCTTCATAGCCAGACACGGTACGCATCTGTCCTATACGACGCAGATCGCCTAAATGAATGCGTTTCAACACGAGCTTGCATGACCCCACTTGGACAGGCCAATCCATACGTTGTATGGCTTGGCCAAAAATACGTAACTAATAGAGAAAGTATACGAAAACGCCGTGTATACACGGCATTTCCCAGCATGCATCCCTGCAAGGTGATCATAACCGCAATGTACAATGCGGTGGTTTTACGGGAAGGACCTGGACTCGCAGGCCCAGGACCACAGACCCCATAGGTCGGCCCCTGCCCTATCGGCAGCACAGCCGCACGCCTAAAAGGCCTAGTGGCGCTCGAGTTCCATAAGCATAACTGTCAGCCCTCCTGCTGCCCGCCACGTGCAAGCATGCTACGAGGTACGAGCATGGATGCTCGTGTCAGCTGCTACCACCAAGTCCCCCAGGGTGACCGGCAACATGATGCATTTACTGCTCCTTCGCCTTGGGCGCCGGCTTGGGGTACGCCGGCAGAAGCATGTAGCAGTTCATGGCCGACGCCACAACGCCCAGGAAGCCAACGGTGCGCGGCTTGAAGGGCAGGACTTGCAGCAGGCCGGCCGCCAGGGCAGCCTGCGGGCATTGGTGCGAAAAGGCGGGGCGGCATGTTACCATATGTCAAGGTCTCACGATACTACTACCGGTACCTAGCTCATGCCCATGCCGGAGGAACGTCTGTGCCTAGCGTCCAGATCTCCAGGTGCACTGGCTTATACCACAACTGACCCACCTGGATGACCGAGTGCAGGATGATGAACAAGCGGTTGTTGATGTCGTTCTTCACGGCCTCAACGCGCTTCTCGTAGTCCGCGTCGCTCTCGCCCTCCTTGCGCACAACGCTCTGCATCGCAATCTGCCAGCTCTCCGCGGCCACCGAGCACACGGACCCAAGGGCCCAGGTCCACAAGGACAGCTTCTGGTACCTGCATGTATGTGCAACGAGCTCCAGATAAGTTCACGACGTGCTAAACACATGCCTTACACGTCGCACGCTTCAGCCACCCTCAGGGTAACAGATCACTTACCGTTCGCCGATCTTCTTGTCCGAGATAAGGCCAATCTGGTGGGCCCAGACGACGTGGTCCGCGCCGAAGTACACAGCCATCAGCACGGTCTTGACCTGCGTACCGCGGGCCACGAATGTGATCGGTGTTAGGCATCGACGAGTGCGTCGTAATGACCAGGTATACTGACACATTTGGACGTGTACGCATGTGGGTCGTGTCCCAAAAAGCAAGAGCTGTTCTGCCATTACGCACATGTGCTAGGGGGGCTAGCTGGCGACATTTGAACTATACCCCAATGCAGCATGGCATGCCCATAGTGACGGGAATACATCCCGCACCCCGCCCATATCACACCCCGCTCATTTTGCCCTCTTCAGGGGGCTTTCCTAGGCTTGTCACGAGTCTAATCGTCAACACTATCATGTGGCTGTTTACGGCGAAGGTAGGGGCCGTGTAGTGGGTGGCAAGGGTAATACAACTACCCGCTAATAAAATTGTTCAATGAACTTTGCCAACCTCTGTCCGACGAGGTGTTCCGTTGAAGGGAACGAGCTTACCTTGTTGATGGCCTCGAGAAGCATTGGCTGCTTGCCTGAGAAGCCCGGGCTGATGAGCAGAGGACTCATGAGCTCCAGAGGCTACATACGAAAAGAAACTGCTTTAGTTCTGGCGCCAAAACGTCCTCTCCCAAAGCGCGCTTTACGCACCCGCATGATGCGGAAGACCTTCCGCGCCGCCGTCACGGACGCCTGAACCTTCTTAAGGTTACCGGGCTCGCCAGCAGAAAGGAACATGCAGGCATACTGCGCATTTGGGGAGAAAATGCTAAGGGAAACGCAGCTGGCAGTGGCGATGGTGTCGGGTGAGCTAGCTGTTCACCTGGATAAGTCCCGTAAGCTTATCCTTGCCATCGGCCTTGTCACAGAAGCCCTTGATAACCTGTGCGCCCGACGACGAAAGCTGTGTTCACAGGGCAGACTAGCTTGCTGGAGTTTACTGGTCTCATCAAACTCACGTTCAGGTGGTCAGCGTATGTTGGCGCCATGACTACTGAGTTCTGACGCGCTAGAGACTGACTGAAAGGGGCAGCTTACAAGCAATATGTGTCGATGGCAGTTATGGTATGAAAGCCCTCCTAAGCTTTGCCCCAACAGAACATCACATGCAACCTTGTCGCGACATATGAGAACTTCAGAACGCAAATCGGTTATGCACGGCAACAACCGAACAAGTGTTGTACGTCTTCCGGTTCTGCTTACGTGGAAACGGGTGCAAATTCGCCCTGTTGTCCAAACGGCTCATTCCAAAGCTCCGAGCGCGCTAATGAATTGTGAAGATACGATGGCTATAATTAAGCAAGGCTTGACGCGGACACGTTGTGTGAGCGAAGACTAATTCCTGCGCAACAAGGTCACCAAAGCCTGAAACCAAAAAACCAAAGAAGTGAACAACGTTCAACGGGCCTAAACCTTGTGTGCTTCCCGCTTTCTACGTCCCAGCGCAACACCCTCTCAGTGGCGCGGGAGCTCAGAGCGGCGACCCACGAAGTACTGCTCAACCATCTTGCCAGATGCTATAATCAGCACCCATTGGCGGCAACGGATCATCTGGTTGTTGTCGTACATGTGCACCAGCTCAAAGCCGATGTGGGTGACCTTGCCGTAGACGTCCGAGCTTTCGCACCTGCAGTACAGAGAAACCGCCGAAAAAGGGACCATCATGCAGCCTGGGCTAGGTGCCTTTCCAGACCTCCCATTCGTCCTCTTCCCCAGTGTAATCCTCGCTTCCTTCAGCCTCAGGACAAACCCTGCCTTCATCTTTTTCTCCAACCCCGCCCTAATCCTCCCCATCAGCCCTCCCGCCAGCGGCCACCCCACCGCCACCTCACCCGCCCAGGCCCCCCCCACCGGTGCACTTACACAAGCAGCACATCGCCCTCCTCCGTGTAGTACATGCGCGTCATGGAGCGGCCGGGCTTGACGTCGCGGCGCACCATGGTGGTGTGCACGGAGTTGTCCTTGGGGTAGTGCTCCTGGTGCGTCATCTTAAGCCCCAGCGGCAGCGACACGCGCGCCTTCAGCACCAGTTCCTGCGCGTTGTCGCGCAGCTGAGGGGAGGCAGCGGCGAGGTGCGGGGGAGAGGAGGAGAGGGCGGGTGAGGGGTTGGCAGCAGGTGGCTATAGTCCGCACAGGTTGGCGAGGAATACGGGATCGGCGAGGAACAGGGCAACAGCCCCTGCACGCACGCGGCCATGCTATCGCGCCCACAACCTTACAGCACCTTAAAACACATATCCCATATCCAGACAAAGGACAGATGCCACGACGCTAGCCCTTTGAACCCGCAGCACTCATGACCCAGCCACCCACCAGAATGCCTTGGATGCTCTCATGCACGGTCCGAGCCATGCGGTTGGCGTTGAGCGCCACATCGATGGGCAGCGGGTTGGGCGCCGAGAGCTCGGGAACCTTGGCCCAGTAGCCCGCAACAGGCAGCTCGGCGGGCACGGGCGCAAAGCGCGTGGCGGGGTCTGCGAGTGTAGGCCAGAGTGTAGCGGAGGGCGCATGCTCAGCTTACGAGGTGCTCAGGTAATAGCCAGTGTGCTACTACCGTCGAGAGAAAAAGACTTGGTCACATTAGCGACACTACTCACTTCAAATTAAGCAGAGGGCCCACGTAACCAGGGTCCACACATCCCATCCCCGACCGTGCAGCTCCAACCACCTACCGCCCCAGCAGAGCTCCCACCCACTCATCCACTAACCGCACTTACCCAGGCCCGGAATGGGCTGCGCAGGCACCCAGTTGGGGCGCTCGCCGCCGTCCACAGCCGGACCAGCCACACGCGGCGTCAAGCTGGAGCGCGGCGTGGCAGCAGCGCCGCCAGCAGCAGCCCGCGGCGTCGACGCCGGCGACGGCCTGATGGACATCGCCGCCGCCAGCTCCGCCGCCGCCTTGGGCGAGATGTCATGCAGCGACACCGGCTGCGGCGCCACATGGGCCGGCAGCGCGTCAAGTTCCGCAGGCGCCGGGCCCGCCGCCACTCCTTCGCCGTCGTCGGCGGCGACGGCGGCCCCGCCGTCGGTGCCGCCGGAGTGGATGGGGCTCATGCCGGCGATGGCGGCGGAGCCCGTACGGTGCGGCGCCGCCAGCACTGGGGTGCTGAACTGCCCCGTGAGATTGTTGTCGCTGGACGACACAGCCGGCGTCGCCGTCGCCGCCGCCGGCGGACCCTGCCGCTGCGGTAGCGGCGGCGTGGCGGGCTGCAGCGCCAGAACCACTTGCTGCGGCTGTGGCGGAGGCGGCTGCGTCGGCGGCAGCGGTGGCTTGGGTAGGAACTGCCCCTCGACCAGGTGCCTGGCGGATCCTGCCGTACCGCTGCTGCCGTCAGCTGCGGAGCGCAGCAGGAAGGGCATCGGGGGGCCCTGGTGGTGCTCCTCGTCGGCTGCCGCGGCGGCGGAGGCGTGGGAGGACATGATGGAGAAGGTGGAGGCCACGCTGCGGGCGTCGTACCAGTCGTCCTCTGCGCTGCCTGCACAGGCCATATGGGGTAAAGAAGAGCGGCAGGAACAGCTTAAGGCTGTTAGGTGAAAGGGGCTTTGCGTTGGGAAAGGACGTGGCGAGACGCATCATGCTGGAGAAGAGAGTCGTATTTTGAGGTGTAAGAAGTAGAAGTTGCGAAGGACAAGGTGCGACGAAGATCCGACCGGTAAACGGAAAGCGGGTCATGGTCTAATGGAGAATGCCACACAGCCGAAGCCGTGCGACGCAGAGGAAACCACACCGGTACTGCACACGCTGCGATGCAGCGTAGCTCTAGCTTCAAGTGTGCATGCAACAGCGCAGCTGCCACGTCAGCCCCTCCCCTATCCCACCCCTCCCACCAAGCGCTCACCCATGCTGCACAGGCTGTCACGGGTGCGCTCCACGGGCACCCGCTGCACCGCCGAACCGCCCAGCCCCGCTGGCGTCGCTGCCGGCACTGGCGACACAACCGCACCGGCGGGCTCTGCGGCGAGGGCGTTGTTGCCGCGGGCTTTAGCATGGCTGGAGTCTCCGCCCAAACCCGCGCCCGCACCGGACTTCACGGCGCCGCCGGCGTGCTCAGCCGCATGGTTGTCGTACATGGCGTAGCTCCCGGAGGCGTTGGGGTCGGGCAAGCGGACGCTGCTGCCGGCGGTTGCTGCGGCGGAGCTGGCGTTGGCGTCCGAGGCGATGGAGGGCGCACCCGCCGCAGCAGCAACCCCGCGGGAGCCTGCGAGGAAGCGAAGAAGCGGAAGATGGGTTGGCAAGCATGCGGTGTGTGTCTTCGGTTGCTCAAGGAGGTAAGTGGTTGCAAAGGCAGATGAGGGCGTCGAGTGGCGCCGGCGTGAAAGTATGATGGGAAGCGTGGCCGACCCATGGGTCATGGACAGTAAAGGTTAAGCTCTGGACAGTAGGTTAGTTGCTCTCCTGTCGCATGTTGTGCATGGTCAGTCGGCACGCATGCACGACACATGTAACGCATGGCAAACACCATGTGTCGTGCTCATGGTACACGTCTTTCCTAGTTTTCCCACTGCTTCAGCCGTCCCCACCTGCACCCCACCGCCTGGGTGCGGACAGGTAGCCGGTATGTTGCTGTCGGCTACCTTCTGAACCCGAAGACGACTCACGTGCTTGCACCTGCTCGGCACCCGAGACGGCACCGGCGGCAGCTCCTCGAGGGCCTGGAGCCGCGCCCTTGGTGGCGATGACGGCTTCTCCAGCCTCCAGGGGGACTCCATGCATCGGGGGATCTGGGCGGACGCACGAGGGAGGGAGGAAAGCGCGGAAGCGAAGTATGAGAAAACACGCGTGGCGTGGTACGAACGCGGGGGTGGGTATGGATGCCTCAGTCCCGCCGGTGTTTTGTTGCCTGAAACCACAGGATGAGTCACCGGAAGCCGTTTGTCAAACTCACCGAACGTGCCAACGCTGGAGCAGGTAGCGACACGCTTGAAGCGAGCCCACGCCTTCCGCAGCTTCCCCGGCTTCTTGCGCCGCGACGACGGCGGCGGTGGCGGCGCTACGTCCTCAGCCACCAGCGCTCCAGTCGACTGCCGCTCCCGCACCCCGCCGTTGGTGCCAGTTCCACCCACCACGCCATCTGCCTTGACAAGAGCAGCGCCATCCTTTGGCAGTTGTGGCGGCGACGTTGGCTGCAAGCTGCCGTTGGTGCTGCTGCTGTTGTGGTTGTTGCGGAGGCCTGGTGTGGCGGGTGAACCTTGTGGCTGTACGGCAGCGGGGTTGCTGCCAGCTGTAGCGCCTCCGCCTGCTTGGAGAGCGGCAGCGGGTTTGACGTACATGCTGCGAGCCTGAACGGTTGCTGTCAGCTGTAGCTGCGGATCAAGGAGCTGATCAGGAGCCTTTGGGACGCAGTCGCCTGTCTGACTTGCGCCGCTTACAGGGATGAAATTCTCAGAAAGAGAAGCTGAAGATGACAGTATGTGTGTGCCTTTTGTTTCAGAAGGAGAAAGGCTGCTGCTTGAGGTGACCGAGATTGCAGCGCTTGCGACACCGCCGTGATGACGTTTGCACGTGGAATCTGGTTGGCGTGGGTCGTTAAGGTGGCTTATCTCGTTGAGGCGGCTTGCCTTGTTCAGGGGCCCAGCGACTTGCTGGACGTGCGGTAAATCAGCGATCGACGCCGTCTGAAGGGATGCGACGGGCAATTGGGAAACCACTTGTAGGCGTCGACCTGTTTAATTGTGGATGCAACAGCGCACAGAGAGAAAATACTTGCAGCTTATTGCGATGGGAACATAGGCGTGCTTCGCTGCGTTTGGCTCTAACCACTGCGTGGCGAAGGCAAGTACGTGCGTTGTCGTGCGAAGAAGTTGGCCGGTCCTTGGACCCGGCGGGACAACAACACAACATATGACAAAAGTGTTGCCGCTGACTGCAACACTAACGTTTGACATTCCATGCAGACAACACAAGGACGTACCCATATTTGGATTAAGATCTCCACCCAGCACCACGTTAGGTAACGCGGGACTTCGTGGTGCAATCCCCGTGTTACTGCTTGCCCACCACGAAATGCTGATGTACTAATAAGTTGTTTGCTTAACTCGCAGCAAGCTGCGTCAATGGGTGTGTGGCTCAGATCCCCTAGTCGAGAAGCCCGCGAGTCGGCAAAGGGCCGTATGCAGTCTTGGATTCTAGGGCAGTTATGCGCCCCCTGTGATGAAACCTGAGTGTGAAGGATCGCTGACCTAGCAAACCAGCGACTGACAAGCCGCTGTCACTCGATAAGCAGCACTCAAGCAAAATAGTTTCGCCTGTCACACCTGCGTTCCCCTGAAACCTCCACATTGCCTGCTACCAGTTCGATTCAGGAGGTGTGCGTTGAACTGTGACCAATAGTGCAAATGCATGCAGTTTTGTATGAAGGCATTCCGCTGGAAATCGCTGAAGACACGCGAGCAGTAAGAACGCGCAATGTACCAAACGCAAAGGCGACCGCTTATATTTATCCTTATCGTGTGAGCAAAACCATAGGCTGAACAGCACACGACGTGCATGCTGCGGCCCATTTGGCCAAAGACGCGTCCGTAATCTGCCGTGTTGTAAGACCCGTGGTTCCCGTATAAAATCATAGCAAGCTGCGCAACAATTTGCAACACTTATACCAGTATAGTTTGTTTGATTAGGTTATACCTGCCGTTATTATTGCATGATTGCGCTCTTCTTGAACAATGTCAAAAGCCGACACTGACGCAGAGAAGAGCGTTATCGAACCTTTTCACGTTGTAGCGGCCGGTAGTGCTATCGTTTGCGCTGGTAAGCATTTCCTGTTACCGTTCTTTGTGGACACCGGAGCCACTAGAGCCGATGTTACCCTGCGATGTACTGTCTACAGGAGCTTTGGTAACAGCTACGCTTACCTATCGAGCTGGGACAAAAGAGTAGGTCCTTTATACTTGATATGGATGGAAGCTGTAACCCTTACTAAGCAGACCTTGATGTCTTGATATCCGCAGCTTGGCTGAAGACGGTATCAATCCCAGCAGCCGGCTGCGCGTTATTCCCCTTGCGGTAAGGAAGCTAGCTTCTACTTTCCTATGGTGGCTGGCCTAGGTATCTGTCTGTGAATAGCTCACAACCCAGCCCTTCCCACCATCTGCCATACCCAGGCACGTACACTCGCTCTAAGCACTGTGTTAACCGGCGTCTTGGGAGTGGCGGGGTTCTACGTCCTCAAGGAGCAGGGTTTCTTCTCTACGGACCGTGCGGAGCTGCCATCTGCCAAGGAGGCCGCACGCTTACTTCGTAACCCTCGGGTGCGTTCAGAGTTCGTCCACAGTTTCTGGGTAGCTACTACGCCGCCTTGGTACAATTGAGCGCAACAATGTGGATGTGTTATGGACGGCTAGCCCCGAGGGTCATGTAGCCCATTCCTGTGCAAACACGTCTGACGTATGATACAGGACCATGCCCTAAGCTCCAGTCCTTCCCTGCCATGCAGGCCTTCGTAAATCAACTTGTTAAAGCCGATAAGGACAAGGAGTGATACGTTCATTCGTGGGTCATCTACGCTGGGGGATACCCCAGGACCCCACGTCGGGGGATACCCCAGGACCCCACGTCGGGGGATACCCCAGGACCCCTAGCGCCGGGATAGCCATGATTGGGGGATTACAGTATTTGGCTAGTTTGGAGGTGCTAGACGACTAAACAGCTGCATAGTATGATAGGTGGACTAGTCGTATACAGATGCGTATGAGTATGTACAGATGAATGGCGGGTAGCCAGGTGCAGGTTGCCCAAAATTGCGTATAGTCTGGAGCTAAGCTGTTTATTTTAGCATAGAAGCAATGACAACATAGATTTGTTTAGGAGATGAAGCTGTTCGTGATGAAGGCTCCAACAACGCATGGCGCTGCCTGCCTTGCATCGCGTATTTGCCGCCTGGTTGCAAGCTGATGTGGCATAGACTTTTATGGGTAATATGGGTAATAGAGCATGTCTGTTTGTCTGGTGGAAACAGGGAAGCTGAAAAGATGATGATGTTCAATTTGTACGGGAGCTCCAGGGGACCTTACGCCGCTCCGGTTGGCGGTATTTTACGCTGCAACCCATCTCATTCCAACCCTCACTTTGGAAGCAGCCGAAGTCCCACCTGTGGACCTTCGTTTAGCTCAAGTTCCATCCTTCTCCAGCTGATCTCGAGGTGCGTCCGTTGGCGGCGACTCTCTTACAATATGGCAGATACATCTCATGTCTTCTACAATCTTGGTTGCTGCGGAGATGGGCTCGGCAGCTTGCAGCCTGTAGTAGAAGCATATGCTAGCGGCTGCAACCTGCACTCTGGATCGTAGCCTGGCGGCAGCCTTCCCTCTATTGGATGCCCTAGCTTTCTGCCCTGAAATTACAGCTGTCTTCTACGCAATTCTAAGCACAACAATAGCCGCCGGGCGCGTATTAACTGGCGGCGACTAATAACCATTCTTCGGGGATTTTCCTTCCTGGCCTTCAGTCTTAACGCTCCAGAGCCCAACGTGTCTATTTTGTTTGTTGTGATCATGAACATATGCGCCGCTTCGCTTCTTTTATCTGAAAGTTTCTATCCTCTCCACTGACCCGTGTCCCACAGGACCAGCAAAGATGTCTGAGGGCAAGGAGCATCTTTCCATTGTCATGTGAGTTACGAGCGTTCTCCGGTCTGCTGGTTTGAGCGCTTTTGCTGAACTGTGAAACCGATCTGCGCGCAGCTGCGGCCATGTCGACTCCGGCAAGTCGACCACCACTGGTCGCCTGCTCTTCGAGCTCGGCGGTATCCCCGAGCGTGAGCTGGAGAAGCTGAAGGAGGAGGCCGCTGCCCTGGGCAAGTCCTCGTTCGCCTTCGCCTTCTACATGGACCGCGCTAAGGAGGAGCGCGAGCGTGGTGTGACCATTGCCTGCACCACCAAGGAGTTCTTCACCGAGAAGTGGCACTACACCATCATCGATGCCCCCGGTAAGTCTAAAGCTTCTTTGTTTGTGCTTTCTGAAAACCCACTTCCTGAGAATGTGCGCATCAAATTACCATGGCTTCCCAACGCATTGGAGTATGTCAAACGCTTCCCCCTTGCTACCCTCACACTCACTCCCTATGTACCATCCCTGACGAACCCAATTCATATGTCCCGCACAGGTCACCGCGACTTCATCAAGAACATGATTTCCGGTGCCGCCCAGGCCGATGTGTGCCTGCTGATGGTGCCCGCCGATGGTAACTTCACCACCGCCATCCAGAAGGGTGACCACAAGGTGAGGATTGCTTTACCCTTAACCTCCCCTACTCTCCTCGCTCGTTGACTGTGTCAACATGCTGTTGACCTTATCCGCACACCACTGTCCGGTATGACGACAGCCTACAATCAGCAACCTACAACCCACATATGACTAAACAACCACGTACCCTCCATGGCTGCAGGCCGGTGAGATCCAGGGCCAGACCCGCCAGCACGCCCGTCTGATCAACCTGCTGGGTGTCCGCCAGCTGATTGTTGGCGTGAACAAGATGGACTCCGATACCGCCGGCTACAAGAAGGAGCGCTACGATGAGATTGCCAACGAGATGCGCCACATGCTTGTGCGCGTCGGCTGGAAGGACGACTTCGTCAACAAGTCCGTGCCCATCCTGCCCATCTCTGGCTGGCTCGGCGACAACCTGATCAGCAAGGTGGGGCCTCTGGGCTGCTGCTTGCTGGGCTTGACTGTAACAAAGTTGCGTCATGTATGTGGGTCACTCCCTTTTCTGCATGTTCAAGCTGCTTCTGTTAGCCACTGTAGGACATCACATGCACTATTGACTGACATCGGACGCCCCCACCATTTCTCTGCCCCTGCAGTCCACCAACATGCCCTGGTACACCGGCCAGGAGGTGCTGAACCTGAAGAACGAGAAGGTGCAGGTGCACACCCTGCTGGACGCCCTGAACTCCTTCGTCACCGTCCCCGAGCGCAAGACCGATGCCCCCCTGCGCCTGCCCATCTCCGGCGCCTACAAGATTAAGGGTGTCGGTGATGTGCTGGCCGGCCGTGTCGAGCAGGGTGTTGTCAAGCCCGGTGATGAGGTGATCTTCCTGCCCACCCACACCACCGCCAACCCCTGCACCGGCAAGGTGTTCACCGTGGAGATGCACCACAAGCGTGTGGACAAGGCCGGCCCCGGCGACAACGTCGGCATGAACATCAAGGTGGGTGGCTGGGCAGTTTGTGCTTTTAGCTGGCTTGTTAAACGTTAAGCTTTGTTGCTGCTGCTGTAGACCACTTTCCCTAATCAATACCTCCGTCCACATCTGCCATCCACAGGGTCTGGACAAGGGCAACATGCCCCGCACCGGCGATGTGATGATCCTGAAGTCCGACGGATCCCTGAAGATCGTGAAGGACTTCACCGCCCAGATCCAGACCCTGGATATCCCCGGCGAGGTCAAGAAGGGCTACTCCCCCATCGGCTTCGTGCGCTGCGGCCGCTCCGCCTGCCGCATCTCCAACATCGACTGGAAGGTCGGCAAGGAGACCGGCGGCAAGAAGATGGAGGCCCCCGTCGGCCTGAAGGCCAACGAGATGGCCCAGGTCGTCTTCGAGCCCACCCAGCCCCTGATTGTGGACTCGTTCAAGAACTGCGAGGGTCTGTCCCGCATTGCCTTCCTGGACGGCAACACCGCCGTCATGCTCGGCAAGGTGGTGTCCGTCACCCACAAGTAAATGCACCACTAGCTTGGGCGCCTAGCTGCGACTGTAGTTGCGGCGGTGGCGACGAGTGATGTGATGTATCGTTGGTTCTCGTAAGGTCCCAAGAGTGTTGGTGGGGTTTCTGATGGTTTTGACTCAGGCCTCTAGTTTTGCTGGTGAAGGCGTAGGTTTGCGACTTGAGAGGAGGTATGTTTACTTAGGCTGTGGGGCGGCAGTGATGTTACTTCAAAAGTAGGGTATGCTCTTGGCGTTGCATGTGCATATGCTACTCCGCATTGGCAGGTCTGTACCGCTGATGCGCGCGAGCTGCCGGCCGCCCGCTGACTTGACGTAGTTTGTAGATGGCATATAATACAGGACTTGACTAAATGACGGAACATGACTTGGAGTAGCTTCAGCTGTCGACTCTGTAATGCCTAGCCAACCATTTTGTGTGTCCTTTTCGCACATGGTCAAAATTGCAAGTATGCACATTGTCAACAAGTTGCGCAAGAGGTATCACCAGCCAGAAATATGTACAGGCTGTACAGCATAACACTGTGGAACCGACTAGATGGTCATGAATCATCATTTACAGTTCGTGCTAATCCGCACGCCATTGTGGCAACCCTGCACACGCTTGCCATTTTCGCTTGAGGATGAAACATGGCTTGCATTAACAAAAGACGCCATCTACATTAACACCACAGCATTAGGTGTCACAGCCAGGTGGCTGCCTAGATGTCCACAATGACGAAGATCTCTGCATCTCCCTCTCGCTCTCCGATTGACATAGCGCTGTACGTGATCGCCTTGATCTCCGTCCCAACCTCGTGTACGGTGCGGTCAAAGGTCTCCCCAAACCTACAGGGTTGGGGGACATACCCACATGCAGTGGTTAAGGAAGGCCACGTCTTTCACACCAGCTCCATTGCCTGCGCATGCCAGGCACCCATGCCTTTTCTGCAGATAAGTAGATATCGGTACAGCAAGCACGTTGTACCGCTGTAACAACCTTGTACTGCGGTACGCACCCCTCTGCCTCGATGACGAAGGACTCCCGGTCGAAGGACGTGATGCGCACGGAGGCAGCCAGGAACAGCTCCGTGGCGAACACGAACAGCAGCTCGTCCAGGAAGGCGTACAGCAGGGAGGGCAGGTCGTGACCCTCCATGCGGTACGTCCTGCGCGGGTGGGTTGGGTTGACCAATGTGGGTACGGTACTCGAAGCTGCATTTGCCGCTCACTCATACGCATACTGGTCTTGGTATGACGGTTGACATGGGTGTATCAGCACGAAGACATCTCCGTCGCCGTGCCTTTGTGCACATGAGCAGCTACGGGTACGGCAGCGCACCTGCTCTCCTGCAGCCGTACATGCTTTATTGGCGACATGTAGTTAAACATGGCCAGGGCGCACTGCTCGAACGCCTCCTTCAGGTCAGCGCCCCCTGAGACGCAGCATCGGAAGGTGCGGTTGAAGAGATAGCGTGCGTCACTGTGCTGTGGAAGCTTGATCACATTGCTCTATTGACAAACGTGCAGACAACTTTTCTTCCAGCGGTCTGCAAGCCTCGCCGTATGAGACAACTCGCGCCCCAACGCCATACACGGCTTACATGCGTGCAGCTGCACATCCGCCGTGTGATCCAGATCTGTCAGGAAAGGGTAATGGCAGCGCCGTGCAACTCCCTCAGTCACACAAAGTTGAAAGCTGCCCAAGAGGTGTGCAAAGAGGGAGAACCGGGCGGCGAATGGGCAAAACCAGGCATGCTGCGGAAACTGAGTGTGCACAACGGAACGGCGCGGCAACGCAAGAACACATACGTCAGTCGTTATGGAGCTGCACTTGGCTTCATGCGCATTACGCAGGACAGCAGTTAAGCAGATGCCATGGAGCTTCAGTAAATTACCCTTCTCTTGCCTCCGCTGACTGGGCAGGCACTTACCGCCCGACCAGCGTACTTACCCACCCACGCTGCCTACGCCGCCCCCCCATGCGAACATTACTTACACTCAAACTTGAAGTTTCCTACGGCTGCAGAGCGATAGGCGGGTAGGTCGCCATCATCAGACCTGGGACGCCGCCGCCGCTGCTCCTCACCATCGCCGTCGCCGTCGTCCGTCCCGCCTCCCTGAACGTATGCTGCCTCGCAACCTGCTCCTTTAAAGCCATACTCGTCAGGGTTACCGAAACCACCACTGCCACCTTCATCGTCCTTGTCCTCGTCACCGCCGTACGATGGCCCTTTGACGTCCGCCGGGCCGCCCTGACTGCCACCAGCACCGGCGTTGGGTGCGTGTGCGCCATATGAAGTGCCAGCCTCGTCTGGCTCCTCCGCCCTCTCCTGCTGCTGCTGTCGCATTCGTCGTCGGGCATTGTGCCTCTGCGGCAGCGCGCTTGCCTCCCCCTCGTCCATCTTAGTTGATCGGGAGCTACGCTAGTTGCATATGAGCTGAAGGTGTTGGTCTTGAACTTACAGCGGTCTCAATTTGAGAGAGCAGATAGGTGTGACTTGAGCAATTGCAACAGTTTGTCGGGAAGATAGCCCGAATAGAGGCAGCGTGAGGACAATTGGTGCAAGTTAATTCCATTAGAAGCTTTGTGTGCCGAAGTCGGCAGCAAACATGCTTACAAACGACTGCTTCGGTCAACTGTTTCCGCTCCGAACCCTTTGTTTCAGCCAAACATATGAGCCAATCCACACCACCAGGACCTGCAGATATGTTTGACGTTATATGCGATAACCTTATTAAGTACCTACAATATATTTAGGATTCCTCCCAGGTTTTCGCCCAACGGAAGCGTCGCACGAACGCAAATTGTAGCCACAGGTAGGTGTATTCGCAGCACCAGCGCCACTCTTTTGGTAGCGACTGCCTTCCTTGGCCTAGGCGGTCTGCCATGGCTGCAAGCAAAGCCCTACCAGCGATTTCCACAATCGCTGGCGCTGTGCTCCGGACGAAGGAGGGCGCTGAGGTGCTCGCCAACACTCTATGGCAGTCCCAGCCGCTCGCGGTGCTAATCTTGCGACGCCCAGGATGCGGTAGGCGTATGGTCGTCGTCGGTTTTGCAGTGACGGACGGCATGGGCACTTACCGCTGCGCTACCGATAGCCTGATGACGGCATGGACCTCATTAATTGGTTTCAATCTGACACCGGTAGTTTGCCTCGTGGGCTTGTGGCAACACACACTTTAAAGCCCTGCGCACGCCTTTGCCCTGCCTTGGGTTGCCCAAACAAACCGCACTCCGCCCCGCCCCGACCCCTCACGTTGCAGTGCTGTGTCGTGACGAGGCGCAGAAGCTGTGGGCGCGCAAGGCCGAGTTTGACCAGCTGGGAGTGGGGCTGGCGTGTGTGGTGCACGAGTGGATCCCCAGGGAGGTGAGGCGCGGGCGGCGGGCGGGGTTGCCAGAGTGGTAGCTGGACTGCGGTGCGTGTGAGCTGCGGTGCATGAACGCATGGAACCCCAGAGCCCGAGCACGCTTCCGCCACACCTTGCACGCCACAGCAGGGATGGTGCCATCGTCACTCCCTGGCGAGTCCTCCACAGGACCCCAAACCCTGGCCCTGGACAGTTACCCGCGGCGGATTCGTCCCAACCCGCAGCACACCCGGTCGCCCCCCCGATGCCCCGAACCCCGCTGCAGATCGAGGCCTTCAGCCCCGCCTTCTGGCCGGGGCCCCTCTACCACGACACCTCCAAGTCCTTCTACGCCGCCCTCAACGGCGGCACGCCCCTCCGAGGCAGCGTGCTGGGGCTGCTGAACCCCTGGGGCAGCGTGTGGCAACGCATCCGTGCAGCCTCGAAGAACGTCAAGGAGCATAACGTTAGGGGGGAGGGGCTGATTATGGGCGGGGCCATGATTATCCGGCGCAGCGGAGGGGGTGACGGAGGGGAGGGGAGTGTGGCCTGGATGCATGTGGAGAGTGAGATCGGGTTTGTGGCGGATCCGGATGCTATGCTGTGCGCTGCGAGGGAGGTAGCGGAGGCAGGGAATACGCAGCAAGGGTGAGAAGAAGGGTGAGCGGTTGGGTGGATCACGTGTGGTGAGTGACGTTACATGCATAGGGGTAGGAGAGGTGTGAAAGAGGCAGTATGACGAGGGTTTGGCGACATTGGCGTGGCCTCGGGTTGGTTCAGAGAGGAGCGTTTGGCAAGTTCCAAGACTGATATGTTGTGATGTGAATTGGGTGCCAAACACTTGTGCTGGCGGTTGTGAAGAAGGGCGACGCTACGTACAACCAGAGGCCTAAAGCAGACATGTAGAAGAATCTGGGGTAGCGCCTGCGTTGGTAGCGCCTGCGTTGCAAGCTTACATGCGTTGTCTGATGGCCTTATAGTTGCCAACACTGCGTCGCATGTAAGCTTGGGCGCCATCCGGCTGGCCTTCCACACGTGCCCATCCATGACCGCCTGCTGCCTGCTTCGCCGCATCCCACCCTACTTCAACCACCCTGCTTCAACCACCCTAATCCAACCTCCCGACTTCAACCACCCTTCCGGTACTGTCCACGTACTGCTGGTGGTGGCCTCCCGCATCCTGCATCGCCATCCTGCTACCGACTATACAGCCTAACATGTCCTGTTCCCAGGCATGTATCGTTGCTTCCACCCTGCTCCTATCTGTCTATCCTAACCCACAATGCGAAGCTAGTAATTGTTGCACACATCTCCCGCACGTCATTACATACGCCTAAACAACGTCACGATCCTATTTTCTGACTATGTTGAAAGGCGCTACCTACACCGACGACTGATATGTCGTGCGCATTGCACGCCCGCCTCTCTCCGCGCGCACATTAACCTTGGCTATGGGTCATTCGCTTGGAGCATGCAAGCTAGCCGAACACCTTTACGCGCAGGGCATTTGGCTTCTGGCGACCCTTCCCAACGCTGACCTCCACATGTTCGCCATGCAAACATATTCCCACCCCACAGCACTACCACCAAGCAGCACCACCACCACCCAATCATCAAGCGCGCACGTCCGCACAACTCTAGTGCAGCACCTCCAGTACTCTGCTACCACCAAGCCTTGCCACTCCTCTCAGCCCCATAGCTGCCGTACTGCCGTACTACCACCGGCGCTCACAGCTGCAGTTGAGGCTCCAGGGCAGGAGAGAAGGCGGGCACATGGCCAGCCAATGCCGCCGCAGCCTCTGAGCCCTCGCCGCCGCCGCCCGCTGGCTGCTGCAGCCGCCGCTGTCCAGACGGCGGCGGCGGCAGCGGGTTGGGGCCGCCGCCGCCGCCTGCCGCCGCTGTTGCTGCGTTGGTTGTGAGGATGCTGTTGAGGATGCGGGTGGTGCGGGCGCTGAAGCGACGCAAGCGGCCGTCCTCGTCGCGACCCCAGGCGCCGCCGGCTCCGCGGCCTGCAGTGGCACACGGAGGGGGGAAGCACCATGCATTGCGAGTGCAACGTGTGAGCATGCGGCCCCAACAGGTCAAGGCTAAGAACGATACTGGTAGACTAGACTAGACACATCTTGCAGGGCGGCATGCTTAAGGCTGCATCCCGTGCTTTCCCAAGACTCTTGCGGTTTTTGCGGTACCGGTGCCCCAACCCGAGCCCCTGCTGGCTCCTCACCAGCAGCTAGCAGCTTGAGCACGCTAGGTGACAGCTGAGCCAGGGTGGATCCCACCAAGCCGCTGACGCCGCCGCCGCCATTGCCCTCGTTCCCGCCGCCGCCGCCGTCCGCGTCCTCGTTGAAACCGCCCCGCCAGCGCCCCTTCCCTCGGGCTCTACCGGAACCGCTCTCGCCCACCATCCCCCGCGCCTCTCCAGACCCCTCCAGCAACCCAGCCATCTCCGCGTTGTTCCCACCCACGCCAGCCTCGTAACCGCCGTACACGTCATCCTCAGGTATGCTGCCGCCGTACGGCTCCCGCCGCATGGGCGTCCGGAGTGCCTTCGCCAAGCCCGATGCTGCGCGTTGAAGCAAGGAAGGACCGCCATTGCCGCCGCCACCGCTGTTTCCCTCTCCGCCGCCGTTCCAGTTACTGTATCCGACGCCGCCAGCATCGCCAGCACCGCCGCCGCCGTCGCCGTACGCTGCGGTCCCCTCGGGTGCGCCGTACCCGTAGACCCGTGGGTCGCCTCCGTCAACGCCGCCGGCGTACCCGCACCCGGCGTATCCACCGCCGGCTTGGTTGTATGCGACGTCGACGTCGGTGGCACCTATGACGCCCTCAGGCGCCGTCGCCTGGCGGTGCCGAGCCATCGCCGCCATTACAACTGCCGTGATCAGGCTGCCAAGCAAAGACCCGCAGCCAAGTCCCAACAGCAACCCTCCGCTGGTAGGTTTCACAGGCGACGGCGTTGTTCGCGGCGGTTTGCCCTGAACACCACCCCCTGCATTGCACAGTCAGAAATGTAGCAACAAACGCGCCGACGAACAAAGAACACGGCGGATTCGGCGCCTCGCAAGCAAGGAGCCGGCAGCATGCCCAAGCCCCACTCACTCGAAGGGCCCTGTGAGGCTCCCTTCCGCGTCGTCTGTGCCCCCAGGTTGGTTGCCGCTGGTTGCGCCGAAGCCGCGGACGCTCCAGGACGTACCGCAGCCGCCGCAGCCGTCGCCGCCGTCGCCGTCGCCGTCGCCGCCGCCACCGGCAGCCCCTGCGCTAGCGACTGCGTCCGCAGCGATATGTGAAACGCTGGGCAGCAGTCCTCCTGCTCAAAACCAAGCCATGATGGGGCTGACATGAGGCCCCTGACCTTGCCGCTACGACACACGGCCATGTGGACCGGTGCCTCGTCCAACTGACCCGTTCGGGGCACCCCGCTGCCATGGACGTCGTACCGTACACCTGCCGTACCGCCCTGCAGCTGAAGCCAGTGTTGAAGTGCCGCATTAGCGTGCTGCTCAAACGGCTGCACCGCCGGCGGAACTGCTGGCTGGCTGGATGACCCATGGGTCAGTCCTGTTGGCGAGTGCCGCTCCTTTACACCGCTCGGCACTGCCATTAGCTCTCCTGCGTCGTGAATCCTATCTGCCACCGACCCAGATGCAGGTAAATGCTCGGGCCTTGGCGGGGCAAGTGGAGCAGTCGAACGCTGTTGTCGCGGTGTTGGTGGCGGCGGTGGCGGGATCAACACGGCTAGGTTGAGCGAGGAGGCGTCCAAGGTGAGTTCGGGAGCATAGCCGGCCGAGGTATCCCCATGCGCCACAAAGGTAGCGAGCTGGCCGTCCGGCAGCGGCACTTGCAGCCGCACCATGACGCGGTAGGGACCGGGCGACAGGGACCGCCGGTGCCGGTGCTGCTGCGACGGCGGCGGCGGCGGCGGCAGGCCGTGCGGGTGCTGCGGGTGCTGCTGCTGCTGGGAGGGACCTCCTTCCTCCATGGCATTCGAGGACGAGGATGCGGACGTGGATGGTGACATGAAGGCTTCTGAGCCGTCCTCGTCAGCTATTAAGTACCGGGTACCAAAGGAGCAGATCGGCGGCGCACCTTGGAGGGCCGCGCCGTCAGGCCCAACGGGTGGTGTGCTGGGGCTGCTGGCGGAGGCAGCGGAAGCGCCCGCTGGAACGCCGCTGCTGGCGGCGCCGCTGCCGTTGTCGCTGCCACTGGACGTTGCCTTGGGTTGCGGGGTTGAGAACGGCAGGCTGAAAAGGAAAGAGAATGGAAGCCTTGGCTCGCGGGCGCTAGCCGCACCGTCGTCGCCCATTAAGGATCCCTCGCCGGGGCCTCCAGAGCCCACGTCAGGGCTACTCGCCGAGCTGGGTGCGGCATTGGCCACTCTTCCTGCCGGTGCCTCTGTCGTACCCCCGTACGGAGCATGTGGGATGTCGTACATACCAGGAGCAGCCTGCGCCGCCTTGAGGAGATCCTCCGAGATCTGGATTCGATCCCTCGCCTGCACGGAATGGTGAGAAGTTCGTATCACCGCGCATTCATAATGGCTATGATAAATGAAGGTCAAACAAGCGCATCCAGAGTGCGGATCCAGGCGGCGAGACTGCAGAAGGAATGCCTGCGTCACCGGCTATGTTTGACGGCTTGTGCCTTTCTTACCCTTGCCACGACGGCGCCGCCGCAAGTTATGGTTGCCGCCAGCGTGGCCGTAATGACCCGTGGGTCGTTGGCTGCGGCTGAGGGCCCCATTGTTTCGCTCGCCGACCCTGACGCCGATGGCATGGGCGCCGCAAGAGGTTGCAGATCTTCATCCTCTTCGCCTTGAAGCTGTCTGCCTGCTGCTAAATTATAATGTCTGCGACTGCTCCCGTCTATCCTCGAGCCGGGCGCCTTGCTTGCTCCGCGTGCCCCATACGAAAACAGAGCAGGCCCCCAAACGACGTCCCTGCAACATGATCACAATATATGCGCTGTAAAAAGCAGATTTGAATCACTATGGGCTCCGTCGCTTTACATATAAGTTACACAATATGGCAATAAGCCGCGAGTTCCTGCATGATCGGTTGTAATCCCTATTTCAAAACACCCACCCGTGAACATAAAGGTGCTGGTTCACGAGAAGTCCTGGCAGCGAGGAAACACCAGAGCCCTCGTCCTTTGACACTATGTCAGGCTCCTGAGGTGTGTTTATCCTTTGAGTATTAACGCTAGGCGGACCTACTAAACCTAGTATCAACAGCAGAAAAGCAGACGGCCAACGGCGGGTAAGGGTCATCTGCCAATACCTTGCCTTGCGCCCACTAACTATTTAATGGTCGCGCAGTAAACTGATGGCATAATTCTAAGGCATACAATTATTACAGTGGAGTCCGAACGAAGGTAGGCCTGTAATCTCGCCTAAAGCCAATTTTGGCCGTACGGCAACACCCAGTGAATCTGGCGCGCATGGCTGCGACTGCGTTCATGCGGCCCTTTACCGGTTGCTGCTTGCCACGCTGCAACAACACGCCAGGATAATCAGTCACATACCGGTAATGTCAGGCGATAATCTCATGAACCGCTATGCAGCGCAGGTTCTCTTCCCGCCGCTGGCAATGTTGGCCAGACCGCAAGAACTTCACTACTCACAAACCATCAATTCCCCCTAAGCCCATTAACGCAGAAGTGCTGAAGGACTTCAGCAAGACCCAAAGTTCCTGAACCATGCCTCCCTACGTCCCTCTAGGCAAAGCCATTTTGACTATGCAGCGTCAGCGTCAAGTCCCTTCCAGCCTTCCAAAGTCACGATAGCAGCGCGCAACAAACACTGCACGCGGCATAGGGAATGCGTCTTGAGAGCGCTGCGATACATTGCCAAGTTCCACCTTAATACTGGCGCGCGACGGCTTTAGCCGAGGCGGCAGCACCACAAGCGACATTCACAGCAAAGCACCCTCCTCCGACTCGCACACTCTTTACTCCTGTTGTCCTGTACCCCACCCCTCGCACTCATGTACGGTAATCTCCAGTGAGCCTCCACGCTAATTGCCACCGCCTTCAACCCGCCTCCCACCCACATGCCTCAAATCAATTCCCCCAGGGCTTGTCACCTCGTTTGCCATTGTCCGCAAACACACCTGGGTATTCTTCTTTCACCCACATGCCTACCCCACCCACTCAGCACTTCCTGGGTTGTGGGCTTCAGGCATGCGGACTTCTCGGTTTCTTCCTTCTCACCGCAGCCCCCTACGACGCCTCATACAGCTTGCGTATGTGGTCGAGCGAGGCGGGCAGGTGTGACACGGGGCAGCGGCCGTGCTGCATCACAGCGCCCAGCGCGCAGGGGTAGCAGAAGACGTAGCCGGAGGTGGCGATGGTGGCGGGGTTGGTGGTGCGGTGCCTGGGCAGGAGAGCGGGGGAAGGAGGGGGAGAGAAGGGGGAAAGGAGGTGATGGGCTGTAGAGTGGTCGGGGCCGCAGGAGGCAGCATCCGAGCGGTGTCGTTCGTGAAGCAGCAGGCTGGAAGCAAGCCTCCAGGTCCTTTTCGAGTTAGGCATGCAAGGTGTATGTCAAGACGTTCAAACCGACAAGGGCCCGCCCGTTGGCGAGCGGGAGGCCATACACCGTACGGGGCACCAGGCCGTGCGGCGGCACCAGCAGCAGGCAGACAGCGAGGCGGCCGTCTGCAGTCGCGGCAAGTCCTTCGTGGAGCACTTCACCAACCAGGCGCACGGCACCTACTGCCTGCCTGTCCAGCACTGCGCGTTGTTCCGCCTCGGCGAGCCGGACTGCTTTGAGTCGCACCGGTACGCTCCGCACGACACCGGCCTCTTCGGCAACTTCCTCCTGAACGGGCAAGGGAAGTTTGATACCGGTGGGATTATAATCTCACCGGTATCAAACTCCCCTCGCCCATTGAGGAGGACGTTTCCAATCAGCCCAGCGTCGTGCGGAGCGTACCGGTGCGACTCAAAGCAGTCCGGCTCGCCGAGGCGGAACAATGCGCAGTGCTGGACAGGCAGGCAGTAGGTCCCATGCGCCTGGTTGGTGAAGTGCTCCATGAAGGACTTGCCGCGACTGCAGACGGCCGCCTCGCTGTCTGCCTGCTGCTGGTGCCGCCGCACGGCCTGGTGCCCCGTACGGTGTATGGCCTCCCAGGATCGGTACAGCCTCCAATGCCGCCACCCGCTCCGTGAAGGAGGGCAGGGCCTTGGTGGTCTACACAATAATACTTACGTCTTGAACCTGGGTCCTAACTAGGTCTGCGTCTTGCACAACCCATCTCTCGGCATGCCACACCCAACCCACCCTAGTGCTGGCTTCCCCTGGCCTGCACCCAGCACCGCAAACCCCGCACACCGAACCCTCAAGCCGTGTACTGCCCCTCACGCAACCCGCGCTCTTCTTCCCACACCCTCACCTGCACACCGGGCAGTCCGAGGGGTCGGGCGGGAGGCCCACACCCGCGGGCGGGGGCACCGGCCGAGGCGGGGGCGGCGGGGGGGGCGGCGCCAGCGCCTTGCCGCGAGCTAGCGCGTCCTCTGCGGTGGTGTACCACCACTCCAGAGCCTGCGGGGCCGCGAGGAGGAAGAGGAGGGTTGTGGAGTAGGGATGCAGCAGGGTCAGGGAAGAGAGTGAAGCAGGGGGTGTGATGAGAAGCATAGAAGCAGGCCAAGGAGCAGTGGGTCGGCTGCATGAAGGGCGGCAAGGCTCGTGGAGGGCGGTGCGGTTGAGCCCAGGCGGTCATGCTGTAGGACGCACGCCTTTGCTCCTACGCAGCCTGCCTGCAAGCAACCCCTGGGGCCATGTACAGTGCCGTACCGTGCACAGCACCTCACCCTCCTTCACCCTCCTGCACCCCCCTTAACCCTGTCCTGCCCCGCACCGCGCCCCACCTTGAACCCAAACACTGCCAGCACCAGGGCGGTCCTCGCGTGGTCCTCCAGCAGCCACCTGCAGCCCAGCACACCGCGGACTGCGGCCCAGCGCAGCCAGGAGGCCAGGCTGGGGCTGGAAGCAGCAGCAGCTGCACCGGCGGCAGCAGCAGCGGCAGCAGCAGGAGCACTGCGGCCGGCAGCAGCAGCGGCAGCACCACCGGCAGCAGCGCCCGCCGCAGCTGTTAGGCCGGAGACTCCCGGAAGGGGGGTTGACGAAGGTAAGGATGGCTGCGACGGCGGCTGCGGCTGTTGCCGGTAGGCGAGTTGCGGTCCCAGCCAGGCTGTCAGCAGTGCTCGGCGCCTCTCTTGCTTCTCCCGCTCAGCGGCCATCTGTAAGGCATAACGGGGCGAGGCAGGGGGGGAGAGACAATAGGAAGGAAGGAACGCGAGGAAGGTAATGCGGTGCTCCGATGCTGTCGCTGCACAGCCCGGCCGTCATGCAGCCGGAAAAGGCAGCAGGGGGAACAATGATGCCGAACCGCCCGTCCGCTTGTACAGGTGCCACGGCGACTGTGCAACCTGTTGTACGTTTCCCTTTTGGGCCCTTTCCCTCCAAGCACCCAAGCACCCAACCCACCATATCCTGCGCCGACGTCCGAGCCATGCTGACTCCGATCGCCTGCGCGGGCATGCAGTCGAACCGCCGACGCCAGTCAGAACACACGTCACGGCGTGTAGCAGTGGGTAACAGGCAGCAAGCAGCCTACGTTAGTGGGACTCCTTATTTACTTACGCGCATAAGCCCAGCCTTCGATCTCCGAGGGATTCCAAGGCAACACGCGTTGGCCATTCTTTAATCGTAAGGAGAGCTCAAAGGTCATCGCCGTACCACCATCGCGGACCGTCGCTCTCATCATTTTGTATCGATCATGGCATGGTTCTTCCGTTGGCCCGTTCCTTCACTTAACTTCCCATTACCTGTTATATCTGCTACTTACGTGCTGGACAGGGTGGTGTACGGGGCTTGCCCCTAGCAGGTACGACAGGTGGTAGGCGAACGTGACACCCTGTACCGGTGCCGTACAATGAAGTCGACATCGAAAAGAAGAAGCAGGAGGAGGAGGCGGATGAGGAGGAGGAGGAGGAAAAGGGAGGATGGTAAGAGGGCCGCATGTAATGGAGACAGCAACTACAGCCAGCCAGCAGAACTGAAGAGCTACGGTACGAAGGTGATGATACGGTACCCTGTACCATCTCCCGCGGACATACACAGGAGCTTCAGCGCAGGTTCACCCTGTGGACCTAGCAAACCCGCGCAGTCCCCCTCTGCAGCGGGGCGGCCCTCACCTCCACGGTCGCATGCAGCCAGGGGTAGGCGGCCAGCAGGGCCCCGCGCAGCTGGCCCCGCCAGCTGCTGCTGACTGCCGGGGCCCTGGGGCTGCTTGGATCCGGGCTGGAGGGGTCCTGGAGGAGGGACACCAGATGGGCTGTGTTGGTTGAGGAAAGCAGAGGCAACTGGCGCCAGAAGGCGGCGGTGACGCAACATGCGGCGGCATGGGAAGGAAGGCGAATCCCTGCGCCCTAGCTGGCTTGTTGAATCAACAGCAGCACATCAGGGCAAGGTCGGTTAGGGTTCATTCCAGAGGCCTCGCTAAGTTGCCTTGTCGCGTGGTGGGGGCGCACGGTTACGCCCCCTCCTCCAACCCCGTCGCAGCTAGACCTGCCCTGCGCGGCAGCATACCTGAGAGGCTCCATACTGAATTGCGAGACCTAGAATGCCCGAGCTTGCGGAGGATCGCCGGTAGGCCTTATCCGCCTTGGCCCGAAGGTACGGCAGCAGCACCTGGCAGGCCAGGATGAGCCAGCGCTGCCGGCGCGTTAGCCGCTCGACAGGGCTTGCGCCTGGCCGCAGCGGCTTGCGCTTGAGGCCATACAGGCTGTCTGCGAAGGTGCTATCCGAGGCAAGCAAAGAGTGGCCATCTAGGAAGAGTGTTAAGAGAGCAAAGACCTCATCGTCGTAGTTGAGCAGTCGATGGACCCATGGGTGCCGCTGGGAAAAGACCTGCGCTTATCGCGGTCCCATAAGTTAGATATAAAGTGTAAGATGACTGTCGTAAGCAAGTACAAGCCCGAGCTACTTTGTTCCATGCTCGCAATGCCGTGTTAACGTACCGATAGCGCGTAGACGACCGCCGCTTTTAAGCTAGGAACCAATCGATCCGCTGCAATTACTTCAAAGTAAGTAGGCTTGGAGTTCTCGTCACCCCCAAGATGCACAAACATTGCATTACTCCGCAGGTACCGGTATGATACAAGCTCTTTGCTGACAGGTAAAGGAAGGTATAAGATGATAACGCAGATTACTGTCCTCAGTTATGTTGCCTAAATCTAAAGCTAGAGCAATACTTTTCCGTACGGCTGTGTATAGCGCGAACAAGACGTACCTGCCCCTCGCGCCCGCATACTTCGGGTGCTCTTCAAACAGCACCGGACCTATCCTTGCACCCAGGACGTGCATATTCGAGGGCAGCACACGGTTTACCCCGTGTGCCTAGTGCTTAGTCGGATCCGGAATGCAATGCTAAAGGGGAGGTAGGGGTGCTGCCCCCATTGTAGCCGTCCGTGAGGAGTCAGCGGCCAGGCACCGGCGAGTAGGGGCGGTATCAAGCTTTATGCGTTAATACTTACAAGGGTTTCCTGTGAGAAGCGTGCACAAGAACATGCGGGCTGCCAAGCGGCACAACGAATGGTTGTGCATTCCGAAAAAACAGACACGGTGCATTAACCGCATAGGGAAACAGAGCGCACCACAACACGCTCTAGTCGGGACCCATCAAGGTACAGCTGCAAAGGTCACTTGGTAAGCCATGCACTTAGTAAGTGGATCATCCAAACCGTAAGCTAAACGCTAATACCATAAATGGCACATCCCCCGCCCCACCCTGGCAACTCCAACTTGTGTCCACCAACGATTGCTTTGTGTCAAGGCAAGTGGTATCAGTCAGCAGGGGGTTTCGGAATGACGACGGCAAGGAAAGCAAGGCGAGCAAGGTGCTATTGAATATGAACGCTCAGTCCGGCAAAGTCATGATAAGTCCCGCATACCACATGCTACAGGTCGAGCACATATGAACAACAAAGAACACGAAACCACAGATTAGGATAGGGGAAACCGACAAGATCGATGCGGGCGGTTAGTCGGGCAGGTTAGGAGGATCACGTACGCTCCTAACCGCCGCTCTTTCGGAAGGCTGCTGGCTCGTGCCCTCTGAATACCCCTATGACACAAATTCCAATCACAAGTCACGGAAGTCGTTGTACCCTTATGAACCTGAATTAAGAATCACGTCAGCTACAGGTCGCATCATGATGCGCGCCTCGGGTCTCCAACTCTCCATACTTAAACATATTACATATACTCTCCCGTTCGCAAATCAGACGCCATCACCGACTTGCACACACCGAAGCTTGGCGCAAACTATCGGCGGAGTTAAGCCGGCCTCCTAATGCCGGCGCTTGTTGGCTGGCCGACCCTCACGCTTGTTGTTATGCCCGGCGCCCTTGCCCCGCCCGCCGTTGCTCTTCGAGTACCGGCTATCAACCGCCGAGTACCGGCTGTCAACGCTGCTGTGCCGCTTCCGCCGCCTGCTGGCCTCAACCCAAGCACCACCCGCGTCCTCGCCGCCAGCGGCGGCACCCGCCGCCTCACCGCTAGGAGCCGCAGCAGGCGCCGCTGTGTTGGTAGATGGGCCGGTGGCGGCAGCGCCAGACGACTGGGGCTCATCTGCGGTGGAGGTAGCAGCGACGGAAGGAGGAGGACGAGGCCGCGCGCTGCCTCCGACGCTGCGCGCGTACGTTGAGAAGCCAGCGTCCGTGTTGCCGCCAATAGAGCGCCGACCAAAGCTGCTCTGGCGCGACAGTGCTGCCGAGGGCGGGGTGGAGTCCTCCGGCAAGCCGCCTAGGGTGTTGCGCTTGACGATGGTGGCCCAGCTCGTGACACGCGGGAGGGGCGGCGTCGATGTCGGCACAGGCGGCTCTGAGGCGTGCATTGACGGCAAGGGAATAAGTAACAAAAGGGGTGTTTGTGCGTGAGCATTAACAGGCATCTAGTAGAGTGGAGACGTGTACAGACTAGAATACTAGAAAAGAAACAAGCCAACCCAGGGCAATTCAAGACGCTGAGCGCATAAACGCAAATCCTTTACACCGCCGCGGCTACCTGCTCTGTCGGAGCGCATGCTACAACACGACGTCCTAAGCCACGCCTGGAAACCGACTCACCTGCGGTGGTCGACGCAGCAACTGCAACCGCTGCAACCGTAGCAGCAGGGGTAACGGTGACCGCGGTAACCTCCTCAGCCTCTACCTCGTCAGCCCAACTGGTCGACGCAACCGCAGCAGGCTGCTGAGCGACAGTCGCCACGACTGGCGTCACCACCGGAGCCTCCTCTCTAGCAGGCCCGGACCCAGCGGCTGCATCAGCCTGGACGGTCTCTGCCGGCTTCTCTGGGGCAACCGGCTCCGCTGGAGGCTGGGACGGGGCGGCATGCGAGGTGCCCGCATCCATCATGACAAGCTGCACACCAGCAGTCGAGGAGGAGGCCATCGCAGAGGCCACTGCCAGCGCCTCCACTGCCAGGGAGCTGATGTTCCGGGGAAAGCGGGACTTCCCAGTGGGTGCACCGCCACCGGGTGCAACCGACGCGCCGCCCGCGCTCACCACGCCCCGCGCCTTCGGGTCAACGCCAGCAGCAATCGCAGCAGCAGCGGCGGCTGACCTTGGCGTTGCGCCCCCTTGGCTCTTGCCGCCACCGGAAGAGCGAGCACCGCCACCAGAGGATCGTGGTGCATTGGTGGCGGCGGCGGCCGCCAAAGCCACAATCTCCGCAAAGGTCCGGTCCTTCCTCCATCCTGACACGGAGCCGCCTCCGGTGCTTGTCCTTGCAGCGCCAATGCTGCCGGCGCGCGGCAGACTAGGTTGGGCTGCAGCATCGGCGGGTGGCGCGGTCGGGGTGTCAAGCTCCGGTAGCTCGGGGGGCTCCTCGCGGACTGCATGCGCCCCTGCCGCCAGCGACGCCGCAGCAGCAGCAGCCGCAGGCCCGATCTCGGCCACTACGGCAGCCACATCAGCCTCATCCGCACTTGTTGGCTCTGCCGCGTCCGAACCAGGAGCGGAGTCCGTGCTGGCGGCGGTTGTGTCAGCAGCAGCAGATGCCTGTGCTGCAGCAGCCTTGGGAACACCGCCAGTCGGAGCCGCGGCGCTGCTGGCACCCGCCGAGCTGGTTTTCCGCCCTGCTCCGCCTTCGGACCTGGACCTCGCCGCTGCGACAATGGCAGCGAAGGAAACGCCGGACTTGAGCCAAGTGTTAGTAACCGGCTTGGGGTTGGCGGATGCGGCTGCGGCAACGGTCTCGGCGCCTGATGACGCGGAAGGGACATTGTTGCCGGCATCGCTTGCGCTGACGGAAACATCAGCCGGCGGCGTGCTAACGACAGGTGGCGCTGGAGCTGTGGTCGTGGCATCAGAATCTGCAGAGATTGGGAAAAGCGAGAAGGGCATGTGTTGTTTCATGGCAGGAAAGCTGCCACGAAGTGAGCATGGTTACCACACTAACAAGTCATGGTCAACGCAGATGCTAAATAGTCAATAGCAAACGCGAACCAGCCACATGATGGTCAGAGAACTTTGAAAAACAGCCGTCATCCGCGTGTAACGCGTTAGGCAATAATTCCTCATCAACCCATCGACTTGACTATGCAAGTGGCCCACGTGCCAGCCTTAGCAGCTGCACAATACCACTAACCAGCGCTCGCCTAACCTCCAACGCGTACCTGAAGTGGCAGGAGGTGCGTCTGTGGTGGAGCTGGCAGCCTCGCAGCTGCTGGCAACGCACTCTGCCGCAGGCGCCCCGCTCTTCGGGGACGCCGGCTGGGAGTCCACACCAGAGCCTGAGGAGCGGCGAGAAGCCACCGCACGGGCTGCCCGGACACCGTCCGCAGTGGTTGCCTTGGCGCTGAGGACCTCGCTACATGCGGCCTCCAGCACCTCGCTAGCCACCTCCCGAGGTACGGTCGCGACGAGCTCCCCGCTGGCGGTGCGAACCACTCGAGGAGACTCCGAAGGCGAGCCCACGGCAGAAGAGCGCCGGGAGCGAGCAGGGGAGGAGTCCGCGACGGGCTCCGATGTGGCGGGTGCAGCAATGTTGGCCTCGTCAACTGCCTCTTTGGCCTGCTCAGGCTCAGCGGCTGGCTCAGTCGGTGCAGCCGAAGACGCAGGCTCTTCTGCATCGGCAACTACCTCCGACGCGGTGACCGGTACCTGCTTTTCAGTGGTGTCCACACTGGCAATGTCTGCTGCGGGCTCCGTGGATTCCTCAGCTGGTGCATCCGGAGCCGGAGCTGCAACGTGGCTTTCGCTAGTCTGGGCGCTGTCCTCAGCCGCCGCAGACGCTGCAGCCTCTGAAGCAACTGGCTCTGCAGGTTCGTCAGCAGCAGCAGCGCTGTCCACAGCCGCATCAGCCTCCTGAGGCGGGACAGCAGATGCCCCCTCAGCCTCCTTAGCAGCAGCAACGTCTGCGCCTGCCCCAACCTCAGCGACGCTCGCAGCAGCAGACTCTTCGGCATCGCCCTGCTCCTCGACCTCCTTAGACTCGGCGACCGAAGGAGCATCCAGGGCGGAACCAGCAGAAGCGGCGTCCTCCTTAGCCTCGTCCTGCGGTACTTGTGCGGCAACGACTGCAACCTCTGAGGAAGCCGCTGCTTCGGGAATCGTCTCCGCAGGTGCATCCGCCGCGGCACCAGGGGCCTCGGTACTCGCCTCTGCCTCCGGTGATGCCGTAGTAGCGGCTTCGGTCGCTGCAGCCGGCTGGCTTGCGCGCTCGGCTTGGAGCTCAGCGACGGACGTATCCGGAGCCGATGCCTCGTCAGCGGCAGGCGCGCCTGCTACAGCGGCCTCCGCGCTGTCGGCCGCGTCAGCAGAGACCCGCTCCTCGGCCGCGACCTCAGGGGCAGCGCCTTCCTCCACAGAGGCTGAGCTTGCAGCTGCTGCGGTGGCGGCAGAGGCTGGGCTGTCAGCAGCGTAATCCTGCGCTGCTACAACCGACTCGACCACGCGCTTTGCAATAGCCGCAACGGCGGCGTCTTGGGCGGTGGCGTCAGCCGCTACCACGGACTCGACCACGCGCTTTGCAACAGCTGCAACGGCGGCGTCTTGGGCGGCGGCGTCAGCCGCTACCACGGACTCGACCACGCGCTTTGCAATAGCTGCAACGGCGGCGTCTTGGGCGACGGCGTCAGCCGCTACCACGGACTCGACCACGCGCTTTGCAACAGCTGCAACGGCGGCGTCTTGGGCGGCGGCGTCAGC